TGCAATATGTAAATAACTTTTTTGTTCACCTCACAATATTTTACTGTCAAATACATTATCAAAATTTTCATGAAATTTAACATGAATCTGGAGGCGTGCTGCTTTAATACTTATTAAAGTGGATTGGTTTACAATGGATAAGTATTTCAAATATTGAAGAAAAACAACTCCATTTAGATTTTTTCATAAAATATTTCTTGAGTGATTTAGTATGAACATTTACATGATGAATAATATTTATTTCAAAAACAACATGTATCTCACGCTTGCCAACAACATTCATATATAATACTTTAGTAATTTGTTGTTATGTACCATTAGGGAGTGAACCCCATATGGATCTCAAAATTGAGCATCGGTGAAAAAATATGTGAATTTTCGCAACTCTAAACGTACTAAAACTGAGTATTTACGCAGTGTAGCACCGAACAATGCTAAACATTCAAACAAACCCTTATTGAAACATTTATTGAGATTCGGCTCAAAATAAAGGAATTGCTGGTCAACATTCCAGTTGAGCTTCATATGTGCTGAAGATATCCATAGGTGATATAGAAAACCATTTAAAACAACTAGGTTCACTTTCACTTAAACATTAAATAGCCAATCTAAAGGAACAATTTGGGTTTCGTAGCTTTGACTGAAAGTCCATCAGTCCATGTGTTTGATAAATAAATATCACTACATCAATAGGCTATCTTCTTTTTTTTTTACTTGGGATTTACGTCACACCGACACAGTATAGGTCATTTGGCGACGTTCCAGCTTTACTGGTGGAGGAAGACCGCAGGTGCCCCTCCGTGCATTTTTTCAGGCACGAACGGGTACCTGAGTAGAACCACCGACAATCCGTAAGCTAGCTGGATAGCTTCCTCACATGAAAGAATTCAAAGTCCCTGTCGGGATTCGAACCAACAGCGGTGAGGGGCAAGTGGTTTGAAGAACTATCTGATGCTAGCAATAGAAAAACTTAAACACCGAGTATATAAAAATTTGGACATAGAGTGAATACTACTCGTATAATAAACAATTTCCTCCGATGATAAGCCAATTCTAACTAAACAGGTGACAGATGAAAGTGACCAAACCTTTGTAAAGCTATCGTATAATAAACAATTTCCTCCGATGATAAGCCAATTCTAACTAAACAGGTGACAGATGAAAGTGACCAAACCTTTGTAAAGCTATCGTATCATATAAATCCATAAATTATTTAAATTCATATAGATAAATATCACTGCAAGATTCCAATAGATTTAATCGCTTTTTGCATTTTATTTTCCGCAACATTATTGCCAGTATCCATTGATACCGTAAATTAAATAATAAATATACTCGATACATGTACTTTAAATAATACTTTCAGCACTATATTTAATTACAACAGTAAAATAATTATATAAGCTTTATATAATCATACATTTTTTGACAATTAGGTATTTTCTTTCGAAATATTTTGTGCTTATGTGATAAATATTACAGATTTTTGCGCTTGGGTATGATAAAAATATTAAAGCAAAATTCTCTCCATTTTTCCAAAATACTTTATAATTTAATCATAATTGTTAAAAAGAGCCAAAATTGTCATGTTTTAGCCAAATTGGGCAAAGCACAAAAATACAATTTTCAATTTATTTCTAAATATATTTCTTAAATACCTTTGCGTATCTTTCTGTATTAGTGCTCCAGCCCATTTATGTAATAAATTTAAATTGTATGTTTTTTAGGCTTTTCTGTTGAAACAGTCACACAATAAGTATTGAATTATTAAAGGACTTGTCCATCTATCAAAATGAACAAAATCATTCATCATAATTTAAGAAAAAGTATGCACTGACTAGTTAGCAGTGTTCTAGGTCTGCATTGTCACATTGGTGGAATCTATTGCCATAAGCAGTCATTGAATTAAAGATTTTGAATTTACTGGACGGAATTCCAGTTTTGAATTTATTATATGTTTAACTAAATGGTATTAAAATTTACACTGGCCCGAATTAAATGACATTGGCCATGGGCCACCGGGTACATATATTTCAAGTATGAGGTTGATCCCTTAAGAAATAAAGTAGTAACAGTAAAAAATAGTATTTTTTAAGGAAAATTCTAAGTTCAAGGGGAGATAAATCTGAAAATATTGGTGCTAGAGTTATGAACCTTGTCACATAAGATGTGGTTGATGATAAGGAACATATACATGTATTTGAAGTTGATACCTTAAGAAATGACAAAGTTATAGTGAAAAATATTTTACTGCACCAAAACTTTAATCTGAAATCTGGACGCGGACGCTGGGGCGAGTAGGTCAGCTCTCCATATACTTCGTATAGTTGAGCTAAAAAAGGGACGTTTAAAATTGCCCCTTCCTTTTTAGGCCCATTATGCCCCAGAAATGCTTTAACTTTAAATTCTTAATGACTTTATTTTCAATGTACTTATATAGTTTTAAAAACAGATACTCATTGGCCAAATACCCGAATCATCTTTTTCTTCTGATGATTTTTGGCAATTAGTACAATTAACCTTTTCCCTCATATAAGCGTGTTTCGACGGCTTTATGCCCCCCCCCCCTTTTTTTTGAGGCCTCAAACAGTGAAAAATGCCCTATTTAGGCCCCAAACACTGGTTTTCGTTTGAGAAATGTTGTTAAAAAAAGTGACCACTTTTTCGGCGCCGTCCCCCATCCAAATGTTACATCAGGGGGTTGCCAGAAGGGGGATGTGTCCCCTTCTGTTTTGGGGGTTTGAAGGGGGGGCGGAGTCCCCCTCATCGCCAAGAAAATTTTGGACATGGGACAGGCTAAAAATGGCCTCAGATCGATCTTAGGGTAACTAGTAACTGACGCTGAAAAGCCTTTTACTCTATCTCAATTTATTGAGAAGTTGCAGCACTTTGAAATCAGTTTTGATGGAAAAAAAACAATGCAAAATAGTGATTTTTGGCAATTTTGAGACGTCCCCCGTTGCCATGGTAACAGAAAATTTACGATTGAGCATGCTGTTACAGTGGCTATGGTGTAGTCAACATTTGTGCCAAGTTTCATCAGTATTGAAGCATTTTTCATAGTTTCATAGCAGTTTGAACTTGTTACATGAGGCTTTTCAATGAAAACGGCCATTTTTCGCAATATGCTCATGGGGTAAAAGGTTAAAGTACTTTAGTATTTTGCAGGGAAGGCAAAATACTACTTTGTTTACATTTTGTTATTTTTGTGACAAATTATTTCACATTTAGTACTTTTATTTAAGGAAACAAGCATCAAACAAGCTCTAATACCGTTATCTAAATGTTATAAAACTAATGTTTGCCCTTTCTAAGGAAGTAAAAATTTATTAGTTTCTCAGGCATAATGTGCCTTTAAGCACCTTACTACATGTAGTTTGTTTTCAAGCTACTGTAACTGCATTTCTTACGTAATTTTCCAAATTTTTCAGCTAGAAATTTGACTTCAGTACAATCTGCAAATTGTCTACAATTTGTATGACAAAATTGTATGACAAATCTTCCAATTCATGTAGTTTTATATGCTTCACATTAAACTAGATTATCACTTAACAAGAGGGCCATGATGGCCCTGAGGTCGCTCACCTGTATATAGGCCCCCTGGAGCGGGGCCAGTTTAAATCCCAGGGCTTTTATTTGAACAAACTTGGAAGACACCCATTAGAAGATGTTTCATGATATTTAGTTTTTACTACACACATATAATGTAAAACAATGACCAGCCCCCCCCCCCCCCCCCCCAGGGCCAATTTTAACCCAAGGCTTTTATGTTTTATTTAAACCAACTTGGTAGACAACCATAAGAAGATGTTTCATGCTAAATATCTAAGCTCTAGCTCATTGGGTTTTTTAAAAGAAGATTTTTATGTTTTTACTATACAAATATAGTTAAAACATTGACACCCCAGGGGTGGGGCCAGTTTTGACCCCAGGGCTTTTATTTGAACAAACTTTGTAGACACTTACTAGAAGATGTTTCATGCTTGATATCTAAACTCTAGCTATTTGGATTTTTTCAAAGAAGATTTTTAAGTTTTTGCTATACACATATAAGGAAAATCAATGACCCCCGGGGCGGGGCCAATTTTGACCCAAGGGCTTTTATTTGAACAAACTTGATAGACACTCACTAGAAGATGTTTCATGCTTAATATCTAAACTCTAGCTATTTGGGTTTTTTCATAGAAGATTTTTGAAGTTTTTGCTATACACATATAAGGAAAATCAATGACCCCCTGGGGCGGGGCCAATTTTGACCCCAGGGCTTTTATTTGAACAAACTTGGTAGACACTCATTAGAAGATGTTTCATGCTAAATATCTTAGCTCTAGCTCTTTGGGTTCTTTAAAAGAAGATTTTTTAAGCTTTTACTATATGTATATTGGGAAAATCAATGACCCCCTGGGGCGGGGCCCATTTTGACCCCAGGGCTTTTATTTGAACAAACTTGGTAGACACTCATTAGAAGATGTTTCATGCTAAATATCTTAGCTCTAGCTCTTTGGGTTCTTTAAAAGAAGATTTTTTAAGCTTTTACTATATGTATATAGGGAAAATCAATGACCCCCTGGGGCGGGGCCCATTTTGACCCCAGGGCTTTTATTTGAACAAACTTGGTAGACACTCACTAGAAGATGCTTCATGCCAAATATCTAAGCTCTAGCTCTCAGGGTTTTTCAAAAGAAGATATTTAAAGTTTTTTCTTTCGGTTGCCATGGCAACCAGAGTTCTGCATGGAATTAAATTCTTTGAACAATTTTTAAAGGTGACCATCAAAGGAACATTCCTGTAAAGTTTGGATGAAATTGGCGTAGTGGTTTATGAGGAGATGTCATTTAAAGTAAGTTTCCGGACGGACGGACGCCGGACGAAAAGCGATCACAAAAGCTCACCCTGTCACTTTGTGACAGGTGAGCTAAAAAGAGTATAATGGCAATGTTGCCTACAGTGAAGAATCTTTAACTCCATATCAGAACTCAAAATATGAAACAAAGAAAATGAACAACAAAAGATTGTGTACTTACATATATAATATTTTAATCATAATTATTCAACTTTATAAAAAACACAACATACAATATCATCTTTAAACAGATCCTCATCAAACTCATTTAAAATTAAACAAACAAAAAATATTTTAAAAAAATGATCTCATTAAAAAAATCTGTCACTAAAACATACATATTGGAAAAATACAATGTATTCATTAGTTCTAAATAATAAAGAAAATAGCAAAATATTTAATAATTTATTGGAAAGAAATGAATGTTTATCATAGAATAGATAAAGAATGTTTATCGGAAAGAAATGAATGTTTGTATGTCTGTTTTTTTTTACACTGTTTTAAATGTATTTTTTACATATCCTTGTGGTCTGTCCACCTAACAGACTTTCCTAAATAACAAACCAGTAAATACCAATTTTACTACAAGTGACTGACTACTACTCCCACATTATTTCTGAATCAATGAAGAGAGCCAAATGACAATAAGATTCAATGTTCTGGATAAATTGTCATAACAAAATTTGAGCCGCGTCATGACAAAACCAACATAATGGGTTTGCGACCAGCATGGATCCAGACCAGCCTGCACATCCGAGCAGTCTGATCAGGATCCATGCTGTTCGCTATCAATTTCTCTACTTGTAATAGAGTTGGTAAGCGAACAGCATGGATCCTGATCAGACTGCGCGGATGCGCAGGCTGTTCTGGATCCATGCTGGTCGCAAACACACAATGTTGGTTTTGTCGTGACGCGGCTCAAATGTAACCTCATACACGAGGATCGGACCAGCGACCCCCAGATTACAAATCCCATGCTCTCCCTATTGAGCTTAGCAAGCTAACTAAAGAATGAAAGTAATATTGCTAAAGCAAACTAAAGAAATGAAAGTTATATTGCTAAACTGTAATTTAAATTAGAGTCAACATTACATTACCTACATGTGTAACTTTGCAGATTTATATCAAATATGTTATACAATATATATCAAACATGTTGCATATTGCACCCTCATATATTACATATCACGGTTTATCACATACATGTGCCGTTTTTGCGACTCCATAAAAATGGTATTGCATGGCCGTGCATATATTTTGACATAACATCATCTGTCTTATATAAACATAGTGTTAAGATGCCCTAAATATTAGCATTACACTATAAGCACGTCAATGAAAAATAGTTCTGTTTTACTTCAAACGGTCTATATTTTTGGCATGTAATAAATAGAAAATTAAATTCTCGTAAGCCCATGACGGAATTTATTGAACTTGTATGATAAAATAACACCATGCTCACCAGAGGCTCGCATAATATAATTTTATTCAACTCGTTCAATAAATTCAGTATAAAACTTACACTCATTCAATATCCTCTATACATGAAAACACATGGATACTGTTCAACAAAATAAAATGTTTTATGTAAGATTGCTTATTATTGACTGTTAACATTGCAATAAAATCTACTTATGAAATATTACTGTATTACAAGTTTGGTAAAAACAACTTATTGGATCAAGAACTGGTGCTCTTTAAAAAATTTATTAACATCTTATTGGCTTTAATAAAAAAAATCTATATGAATTTTCTTTATATAAATTCACAAAAAAAAATAAAGCAGCTATACATTAAAAGCTATAAACAACCATATAAAACAAATAAAATAACTCAGTAAAAGTATAAAACAAAAGTGGATAAAATTTGTCACAGTGTCTGGTAGTTGTAGTACATAATATATTATATAGTAAAATCAACCTTGGGGTTCAACAAAAAAACTGTTCTTTAAAGATAAAAAAAAATTAAAATTTACATTGTTTGAATACACTTTAAGTTAAAAGTATACCTGACCAAATAAAACAAAATTTTTTTTTTTCAATAAGACACACACTGCATAAAGTTCATGAGTATTTAACACAAGGGATACTTGTCATTTTTACATATAGTAAAATCAACTTAATAATTCATAAAAATCTTTTAATTTATGACATGATAAAATATCATTTTACATTAAAATTACAATATTCCTCTTTGCATATATAATTTTAAAAGCTACCAGTATATACAACCAAATAAAACCAATAAAAATAATTTTCAACATAAAAAAAAACTTTTACAGTGAATTCAATAAAATGTATCTATGATTATACACAACAGTCGTTAAGCGGATCAGTCGTCAAGGATACCTCTCGATTCATTAGTGTCACCATTCACTGACCTACTTCTTTGACTGTCTTGTGTATGACAACCACAATACCAACTATAGGTGTATTTTCTACAACAATTCCTTATAGCATGATAGCATTCTGGAACCTCGCGTATAAACATTGGAATGATGCAAAATATCGTTGAAATAGTCTGAAATATAAATATACATGTATGATGAGTCATCAATTTGTTACTATAAATAGAAAATATCATGTGTCACGTTATTAAATGAGCCGCGTCACCACAAAACCAACATAATGGGTTTGCGACCAGCATGGATCCAGACCAGCCTGCGCATCCACACAGTCTGATCAGGATCCATGCTCTTCACTTACAAACGCTATAACAAGTAGAGAAACTGATAGCGAACAGCATGGATCCTGACCAGACCCAAAGTCTGGTCTGGATCCATGCTGGTCCCAAACCCATTATGTTGGTTAAGTTGTGACGCAGCTCAAATGAACTTTTCCAGCATCAATTTTTTGTTTTTAGTTCAGACTATGATTATCAATTTGGTGATCTCCTGTTGAATATTGCAAGGTCAGCCAACAGTATACAGCTTGGTCAGACAGCTCTATACTGGCCACAAAGGCTTATCACTTTCTGCCAAGGTCAAGGTTACGTTGACAATATGTCATTAATATATAGCGGTAAAAAGCTTAAATCTTAATATAAAGGAGCCTTTCACTGAGAATACCTTAAATACTGAGATTGATAACCAAAACCCCGCAAGAGTAATTTGTTAAATATTTTGCTAAATACAACCATTGATCTTAAAGAGACATATATCCAAGAATGCTTAATACCAAGTTTATTTGGTGACAATCTTTACATGTACGTTCAAAAGATTGATTTTTATGTATATATGTTAAAAGTTTTTTTTTCATTTTTCATATTCTTAGCTGTTGTGGTGTCTGAAAGAGCACAGGAACTTATTGTTGATCAATCATAAGGAAGGTGTTTCTAAGGATATCACAAGCCGAGTTCTGTGTGAATTCATCCGAAGTTTTACAAAAATAGGTAATAGAGAATTTGCTATGTTTGCTTATTTATGTATTTGTTAATGCAAAAATTTGAAATGTGACTATCAAATGATGAGATAGGGTAGGTTTGAATTAATTTTGGCCAGTGGTATCAGTGTAGAAGCTGATAAAGTGATGGCAAACACTGAAATATCGTAAAACAAGAGCCATTGCCATGGAGGGCAGCACAACTTTTTTTAAGGGAACACCACCATGACTGTACCAATACCTCAATTTTTCTTTTTTAAAAAAGCTGAGCTAAATACGATTAATGCAATCCTAAAGACACACTTTGTAAACTGCATAATATATTTTTAAGATATCCACAAGCTTACACATATTTAAAGATACTAATATGTAAATAATTAACCTAAATATGATAAAACCAACCAAAATATAATAAAATCAACCTAACTATTACAAAAGTAGCCCAAATATTATAAATCTAACAAAAGAATTTTGAATATACAAACCATAGCAATAAAAAGATAAAATACAGAATGCCAGCCTATACGTTCTTGAAGTAGAGGCACTAAAATCTGAAATAGAATCAATTTTCTCATTTCAACATGTACACTTTATATTAGTTTTAAATTAAAATAAGCCTCGTTTGAAGCTATTCACATTATGAAAACCAGCATCTTTCAGCTTGTTCTGCAATGAACATAAAATAAAAAATTCTCGGAAACATCATTCTTATTGCCTATTTCATATTTATTCATAGAATTACATCAAATCTAGCCCAATTCATTCATAAATGTGTATTAAGTTTTAATTATAACACATGTATAAATGCGGAACATTGTGTGTATGACATAGTGTATTATTGGATGTGTTTGGTTTATATACTCTCATCACTAGAATACAAATATGAAACATTTATTTGCATAAAGCATAATACAATGCCTATAACAAGTACAAATTGTAATAATACAATATTTGGAGATCAAAACATGAATTTTACAGCAAACATTTTTAAAGATTTATGCAGAGCCGAAAAAAGCTATGCTTTGATTCCAAACGTGACCTTGAACTGACCACAAGACTAACCAATGTGTTTTTCAGTGTTTTTGTACTGTATTATACTGGACTGGACCCCTCAAGCCCTAGTCAAAAACTCCTGGCAAAAATCCTGGCCATTGAGCTGCATAAGATCAAGATGTCATGGAGTGAAGCCAAAGCTTGGGCAATAGACAAAACCATATGGCACGCTATGGTGACAACTTTATGCTCCAATCGGAGTGAAAATGATTAGCTAGTAGTATTATACTGTACCTGGCCTAGTGCAGCCCCTACACTACCAGTACCATCTACAATGCCGGTAACTGTTGCTAGGGCTGCCTTATTTCCCTGTATTGGTCCCTGTTTACCTAGTGAAATAAAGTAACCACTCATATACATGTATCATGAAAAATAGAAATTTTACATTTACTTGAAAACAGGCAATTTCAATCATTTATCTGAGCAAACTGAAATCAAATAAAGCTTTTTGTATAAATATCTTTTGTTACACAACTTTCATTCATACAAGAAACTGGCCACATATTGTTACATTTATATAATCTATAGACACAGCTGCTGTCAAATTAAGCCTAAGTGTTTCTTTTTTCCTCATGTAGAGTAATTATGCTGTATCATTAAAATTCATAATTAGGATTTTTGACAGATTATAATGGTGATACATGTATATAAATGGCTGTTTGCAATATAACCCTCATCTAACAGCTAAGGTTATATCAGCCTACAATCTTTTATAGTAGGTAACATGCTTATAACTATAATTATATATTGTTTGTTTAGTTTTATGCCTATTTTAACACCTTTTGGGTCATATTTTGCCTTGCCAAAGGATCAAGCAAGCAATCCCTAGATTGCAAATCTGATTCTCTCCCTACTGAGCTAAGTTGGCCGACCTCCAAACAATTGACAATGGTCATAACTTAAAGGGGATCAATCTTATACTGAAAAACAATATCATTAAAATCAGATCATCATTTTCGCTCTGTCACTCTTTACTAGGAAGGGTAGCAAAGGGTAGTGGAGCAACAGTTACGATATGATTTTAATGAGATTGATTGAAAAACTAACTTTAAGAAGAACAAAACAATTCAATATCTGCATTATAAGCAAAATATGATATTAAACAACACTGGCATGGGGTGGCAAAATCAATTGTCCATATTGCCCAGGTTTTCCAGCAGCTTGTACGGACAAGAGGAAATTTTCAAGAATTTACTTTAGAAATATTATATGAACAAGTAAAGAAATGCTTCAGATACGACTAGACAAGTGAGTGAAATTGAATTTTGCCGACCCTCAACAGTAAAACAAATCATTACCGAGATCTGCTGAAATAGCTGCACTAATGAGGTTAGCAACACCACCAATAAAAAACCCTGTTACTGTCATCAGAACCGCATTCATAGTCATATCATTGGGTGAGTCTAGAAACATACAAGGCAATATGTGAAAATACAATCATAAAAGAATTTATAGTTAAAATACAATTATTAAGTATCTTATATCATTAAGAAAAATTCAAGATAACATATGGGATTTACAGTTATAATTGGATAATTCTACAGTGTCATCATGGGTAAAATGTTTGATATTTGAAATAATTTGAAAATTTTGTACTTTTGTACCGATATAAGTTCAAGCTAATAAAGTAATACACGTCAACACCAGGACAGGTTTACAATATTTTATTAACCTTGACCTTCATCAGGACCATGCATTCAAAAGTATAAGCTGAAAATTTTGATCTCAGAAATAAATTTGAATTTACAATGTATTTTAAAATTTCAGCTAAAATTCTGATTTTCTGGAAAAAACCTGAAAACTTTCACCCAGACATAAATTAAGTGTTTATATAACTGTTGTAATTTAACAAAGAATATAAATAAACTTACTGCTGTACCAGATCAGTGAGGGTATGGCCAGAATCAACATCGGTACAACTACTATAGACCTCTTCTGAACACAATCCTGTATCAAACAATATAAACTGTCATAAATATATCCATCCTTAGCCTGATGACAGCAACAAACTCTACTGACTGATCCTGATTTGCACTGTTCACTATTTAGTAGTTATTTGAAATTTTCTCTAAAAAATGGTGAATGGTTTTGTACAGACTGAATGATGGGCAAGTCCATTTAAGATATTTACATATATAAACTCCTTGTTTCAGAGTACCTTAATGATACAAAAATTTCAACTTAGTCAACATATACGATACACTTTATAGGGTAAAATACAACATACGTATAACTTACTGAGATGATACCAGCTATAGTTCCACCTGAAACATAAATTTAACATATTGTTACTCTATAAGATGTCTCCTCAGGTATATGTAATTGTTATATTAACACTTTCCTACAAGGAGATGATACTTACCTGATTCAACTAATTGCAAACAAGACAGAAAAACGTGTTATTGGAATATAAATGACTTATTTATAGTGATTTTTTATGGTACTTTATCATAGTTTTTGTTTGAGAGAGGAACAAAAATCATTTCATCTTAACTGTATTTTTTTTCCATAACAGTAAAGTTTTATCAGAGATGTTATCTATGTCTCTTGTTTTATAAACTTTATATCAATGATGTGAAAAATAATCATCCATCTAAAACAGAGGTTCCTGACACTCTTAAAAGTAGTGTTGAGTCAGTCATCAGTATAACAAGAGCTGTAGGTAGGACAGCATGCTCGACTTTTCTCAGTGCTAAATAGTAAAACATGAGAATTGATAATTTAGAATTATTTAAGTAATAAAAGAGGCCATAATTTTGTCAAAATCCATGTTAAGAGTTATAGGTTTTGGAAAGTGACCTATTATGCTCTAAAATAAAGTGTGTAAAGATTCAACCCATTCTTCCCTTCAGCAGTTTTGGAAATACATGTACCAACTTGCATGCAAGAACGTAATCAAAGTGTGACACTGATGTTTAGGTGGGTAAGAAAGCTCTCCTTATTCTTTGAATATTTAAACTAAAAATTTCCATTTGTCTTACCTACAATTCCACCAATGTCATACCAAATTGAAATTTTATCTGCCACAGATTCTAACCAGCCAAATGATGCATGTAGATAATAAGGTAGCCAGAAGAAAAATGAATAGTTAACCAGTTTCAAACAGAAGTAAGCAAATGCATACTGAAATAAAAAAAAACACCATCTTAAACAGTATAGTAAAAATCACTACAGCAACATAGAACATACAGTATTTTATATTGTTGTTGTTGGGTTCCAGGTCAAACTCACACTGTAATAATCATTTAGTGAATATCTAGCTTTATTGGGTGGAAAAAACTTTAGATGCCCCTCCAGTGCATTATTTCAGGTACAAGTGGTCACCTGAGCAGAACCATCAACATTTCATAAGCAAGCTTGACAAAATATTTTAAATACTATACATTATTGCATTATTAATTCAGTGCTTAACTTTGAAACTGCCAGTAAAAAATTTGAGAGCTGTCACTGGTAACACACTAACAAGCATTTTTAAAGAATTTTGTATTTGTTAAGGTTTTGCAGAAGTAGCAGGCATATATAATTTATAAATAATTTTGCTGGCCACTTTGTCAGTAACACACAAGTGCTTTTAAAGAATATTAAATTGTCATTTTTTTGACAAAAGTAGAAGGCATTAAATTGATAAGTAGCAATTAATTTGGTATTCTGAGAGCATTGGTTGTGTGTTTTCAATAAGCTTTTATTCAATAAGTATTAAGTAGGTATTATTTATACCAGAAATTATTTATATGTAAAATTATATTAAAAACTAGAACTGCCACTGTCATGGCATGAATACCCCCGCATACCACTTTGTCAGAATCAACAGTGGCCATTTAGAGCTCAAGGACAACCTCCCAGCCAAATCTGAGGTTACTTAAAGCCAGTGCATTGCTAAGTTATGTATTCTACATGCTTCAAATGTGAAAATGTCAAAATCAATACACTGCGGACAGGCATTTTTAAGCAATTGAGGGGAAAAGCTTTTTTTTTTTGTCAAGGTCCCTGTGACCGTGACCTTTGACCCAGTGACCTCAAAATCAATAGGGGTCACCTTATGGTCATCATCAACATCCACGCCAAATATGAAGACTGTGGGTCAAAGGAATCTTAAGTTAATGGGCGGATAAACTTTTTTAGTCAAGGCCCCTGTGACCTTGACCTTTGACAATGTGTCCTAAAAATCAATAGGGGTTAGCTATTAATCATGACTAACCTCCATGCCAAATATGAAGACTGTGGGTCAAAGGAATCTAAAGTTATTGGGCGGACAAGCTTTTTATAGTCAAGGCCCCTGTGACCTTGACCTTTGACCTGGTGACCTCAAAAGCAATAGGGGTCATCTACTAATCATGACTAACCTCCATGCCAAATTTGGAGACTGTGGGTCAAAGGAATCTTAAGTTATTGGGCGGACAAGCTTTTTGAAGTCAATGCCCCTGTGACCTTGATCTTTGACCTGGTGACCTCAAAATCTATAGGGGTCATCTACTAATCATGACTAACCTCCATGCCAAATATAAAGACTGTGGGTCAAAGGAATCTTAAGTAATTAGGCGGACAAGCTTTTTGAAGTCAAAGCCCCTGTGACCTTGACCTTTGACCTGGTGACCTCAAAATCAATAGGGGTCATCTACTAATCATGACTAACCTCCCTGCCAAATATGAAGACTGTGGGTCATAGGAATCTTAAGTAATTGGGCGGACAAGCTTTTTGAAGTCAAGGCCCCTGTGACCTTGACCTTTGACCTGGTGACCTCAAAATCAATAGGGGTCATCTACTAATCATGACTAACCTCCATGCCAAATATGAAGACTGTGGGTCAAAGGAATCTTAAGTTATTGGGCAGACAAGAAAAAACAGACAGATGGACGGACAGCCGGACGGACAAGCTGATTCCAGTATACCCCCCTTACAACTTTGTTGTGCGGGGGTATAATAACAAAATAAGTACATTTTGTACATGTACATACCATGAGCACACCAGGCAACAATAAAGCTTTCCAAAAACTCAGAGCCTCCTCTTTTTCTGGTGCCTTAGGCTTCACAATTCTTACATCATCACCATCCTCTGGTAGTAAAGGATCTATCAAGGAAAAGAACAACATTCATTGAATTAATTAAAATGTATATTTATATATAGTGATGATCACTATATATAAATATACATTTTAATTAATTCAATCAGATCAATACAAACAGAAAACACTATGTTTTAGTTCTACTACCATTTATAGGAAGTCTAATATAAAACTCTACGTCTTTGGACTGACCCTTTTGTTAAACCATACTTCAAGCTATGTGCCATTTGTCACTCATCACTTATTCAGAAACCAAGTGGATTTGCAATCTGTCAATTGCAGAGAAATTGGTAATTACTGGTTAGGTATCCAGGAATGCCAGTTAGATGAAAGGACTGTTTACGTATGATCAAATATGTAATCAAATCGGCTCTAAAAACAGTGTTAAATATGAACTTATGTTCTGTTTTTATCTTGTTGAATGTTAAATTTATCTTACATTTATGATTTCCTTTTGGTAAGGAGTTGGAAAACATAATACATGTCAAACAGATAGGGCAATCACGTGCAATATTATATGATATATGCACAGCATAAAAAAAGAATGCTTACATGTCATATGATGTCAGATGTGACATCAATAACCCAAATGATATCAGGAAAATTACTTCTATGCTCATTATAGTTCAATGTATTTTTATTTATTCCCTTTTTTGCTAGCATGTTAGAATGGAAATAGATATCAATTCTTTTTGCATTACAGTAAAGTAATGCACGGTTTATCGTTCAAATACTTTGTAATTAATTACTCAGGCCTAACAGCCTTCGTAATTATATTCCTGCACATTTGAGCTCCAACCCTGCATTATTCTACAGCAATGCACTCAAAATTGATGTCTATTTCCTAAATGACTGCTTGTCAAGTAGGCCATTCAATCAATCCAACCATAGGTCACATAAAGACGAGCAAAGTTACACCATACCTCTATCATCATCGTCATCATCTTCTATATATGTCCCTTGTTGTCCTTGTTGTCCTTGGTTCACTGTTATCTGGTAATCTCTTTCCTGTATTTCATCTGGACTCTGTAATCCTATAATTAAACATCACCACCTCATCAGATTCTTTAACCCAAAACCTACTGAATTTGTAATGGACTTGCCCTGCTTTTAATGTGGAACAGTCCATTTAAAGTGTAAAGGATTTCTATATAAAAAAAAAATTGAGCTACCTGGTCAGTCTGCACTGGAAAAATTGAGTGAGTGAATGATATGAAATTCTGTACATAGTTTTTGTTCCAGACTTTTTATCAAATGATATAAATAAAAAAGAAAATTACAGTCCTGTCACGTGAATAAAACCTCATTGAAGCCCATTTAATAACTTATTGCTCAGATCATAACACTCCTATATTTTAATAACTTCATTTACAGGATAAAGCAGCGCTGGAGGACTATCATCGATAGCCTATGCACCAGGAGGAGCAAAGGGCCAAAGTTAAAAGTAAAGTATATGTCTGTAAAGGCCCATAATTGGAAATCAAATTTATTCTATTCTATTGTCACTTACCAATTTCTGTAGGTGAATTGATCAAACCAAAGAAATTAATGATTCCACCAGCAAAAAGGACAGTTGATGTGACAAGGAAGGCATACTGAAGATGTAGATATAACTTTTACAATCATGAGAATTATAGCAATGTATGCTGTATAACATTAGGAGAAATATTTAGAATATATTGATACTGGACATTTATAGCTTGGAAGAGCAAGTTAAAATCTTTATTCAAACAAAAAAGGTTAAACAGTAAATAATCAGATCTAAACAAAATTCCTCTTGACAGAGAGTGTTATTCTTCCTATGAAATTGCTAAAAATGATTATTTCCAGCAAACAAAAAAAGGGCAATTGTGACTAAGAAAGCAAACAAAAGAAGTAGAAATAACTTATACAGATATAAGACTGTCAGAATTGCATGCTGTATAACAACAGAATAAATATCATTGTTCATGTGAATTTCAATGTTATCTAAAAGTAAACAATAAGGATTGTCAATACAGAATACAGACAAACAATTGAAGAAATTTAAAGCTAGTTAAGGATCAACACAATCGCTTCCTTTGAGACTGTTATGCAATAGTCAATTGTAATGACGGCCCCTGCACCCAAGGGGAATAGTATGGATTTTGACAGTTGAATTTTTACCTAGTAAAGGCACTGAACTGCAGAGACAGTCTAATGGCTTAATTCCCACTAAAAGCCCTGACACTGGATATTGGAATCATCCCACCATTTTTGCGGAAAACAAAACCAAAAGAAAACAACCCCAACAAACACTTCCCTCTTTTCCCTGTTATACCATGCCCTTCCACAAATTGGGCTGACTGTTTGTTTTACAACTGACTGGTGCATTAATGATTATGAAGCAAAGCAAATCAATTTATCCATTAGTTTGTTTTAATTCTGATTCTTGTACAACAAAATATTTAGGTTACTTACATCATATCCATACTGTAGAACCTGTGATACCATTAAAGCACCGATAATATTGCCAACAGATGCACAAGCACTCCATAATCCAAGTACAAGACCTCGACTGAAATATCAAAACAAGAGTGATCAGTGATCACATGTGTCGCCTCATAAAAGCCAATTGCATGTTGCAGCTATTGTATAGTAGGAGACACAAAAATCATTAACAGGGCAAAACGTGTTTTTTATTGCGTTTAACAGACGACGGAGAAGTTAACCCTTTATGTGGCAACTACTCTTAGTGTAGTAAATTACCTAAAAAGTTTACACATGACCATCTCGTTATCATATCAAGCTTAAAGACAATTTAAACATGGTCTCTGTTAACCTTATCCAAATGAAATGTATGCATCAAAGATTTCTAGAACTGGTTATGACACCCATGAAGCTGTAAACTGGTGTGATTTATAGCATGAATATATGTCCCTAAATTTGGATTTTGTCATTAACTGGAAAACAAATAACATACAGTAACGTTGTGGCACATTATATTATATTGCTCACCTGGATTTTCCAAACCAATTACCCATGATAGCAACAACTGTCGGCCAACCTAAACTCTGTAACAATCCATTACATATCCAGACAGCGACATACAGGTACTTGTTGTAGTAGTGTGACCATTCTAACACAGATCCAAACACTAATACCTTAATAACAACAATATATGTATAACATATATATAATTACAATACTGATAAATATAATATACCATATCTATCAAGATGCATTTGTTGGTCTGCAGAGATAAAATTTATATGAAAGTCACTGGCTTAATGAATTTAGGCATAAATATACTTAACAAATATTGTTTAGTTAACTTTAGAACATATAATTGAAAGATCTAACAATGATTTATGTATTTTGTTGTACTGAAGTTATTAAGTTAAAAAAATATTGATAACATCATTATTTGTTATGTTGTGTAAACATGTATAAAAAACAATATTGACAGTTTTAGTAAATAATTGTTAATTGTCATGATATTGAACAGAAACTGGTCAGTGTTGTATTGTTTTAAAATAAAAACTATGTTTATAGCAACTGATTTATTTAGAAAAAACATCCTATAGCGATTGATATAAAAAACTCATTTAATTTCAATCATTTTCTACAAGTTTTTTATTATTTCCGGCATCTTTTAATACTTAAATATACATGTACATGAATATGGAAATTAATGAATGTGTGTCCAGACACTTAATATTTGTAATTGTTTAACAAGTACAGAGCACTTAGAACTTAAACTGTTCCCACTTAAAGCTGAACAACAAGCAATACAATAATCTGCATAGACAAAGCAATACAGTACATACAATTATACACTTGTTAACCATCATAATGCTTAACATGTATATATTTTGTAAGTTTTTAACTGTCCATAGGATAAGTACACAAATATTGGTTTATCTTATATTCACGTCCTCTGACTGTTTAATGTTTGAATTCCCACTGGGATTTCAGATTCTCTAATGATGAGGAAGCCATTCAGTCACCATACCTTACTTTTGGTAAAGTAGAATGTGTAATGTATTACAGTAGGGTTGAATTTGTAATGTACATGCTAAGGCAGAATATGTGATGTATTACAATAAAGTACAATAAGTAATGTATTACAGTAAAGCAGAATATATATTGCAATATGGTAAGGTAGAATATGTAATGTATTAAAGTAAGGTAGAATATGTAATGTATTACTGTAAGGTAGAATATGTAATGTATTATAGTAAGGTAGAATATGTTATGTATTAAAGTAAGGAAGAATATGTAATGTATTACAGAAAGGTGAAATATGTAATGTATTGAGGTAAGGCAGAATATATAATGTATTACAGAAAGGTGAAATATGTAATGTATTGCTGTAGGGTAGAATATGTAGCGCATTACAGTAAGGTAGAATATGTAATGTATTCCATAATATGTAATGTATTACTGTAAGGTAGAATATGTAATGTATTAAAGTAAGGTAGAATATGTAATATATTACAGTAAGATGGAATATGTAATGTATTGAGGTAAGGCAGAATATGTAATGTATTATGCTAAAGCAGAATATGAAATGTATTACAGTAGAGTAAAATACGTAATGTATTATAGTAAGGTAGAATTTGTACTGTATTACAGTAAGGTAGAATTTGTACTGTTTTACAGTAAGGTAGAATAAGAAATATAATTCAATTGCTTAGTAAGGAATGTAATGTATTATGGTATGGCAGAATATGTAATTTATTAAAGGAATATGTAATGTTTTACAGGAAGATAGAATATGTTATGTATTTCAGAATATGTAATGTATTACTGTAAGGTAGAATATGTAATGTATTACAGTAAGGTAGAATATGTAATGCATTATGGTAAAGTAGAATATGTAATGCATTACAGTAAGATAGAATATGTAATTTATTGTTGTGCGGCAGAATATTTAATGTTTTTATGCTACTTACAGATACAGCTGAACTACACATGCCCAATGATAGAACCTTCCTCAATTCAAATCTGAAACAGAAAGTCTTACTTAACACCAGGAATAATATTTGTACAAGTTGAAATTAATATACAATGGTATCTATGAAGCTTATTCTTGAACTAACAAGTGTAATAATGAACAAAATTACATTAAACAATAATATTATTACAAAATTTTCATACCTATCTCCAATAATACCACTGATGTATAGCCCCTGAAAAAAATAAAATTTAAATTACAAATTATTTTATATAATTACATATACTACTGGTTAATAAGCTTAAACGAAAAAAAATATTATGTATAGTCAGCGAACTATAATCTAAAATTATTTATTGTAAGTCAATATTATGAAATGTTAATAAACTCATCTGCTTGATTTTCATGAATTTTGAGATAGAAGTACCTTTATACAAGTTTACAACTATGAAACAAAAAATATATAGGTAAGACTGATGATATTACCACTGCATAGGAGACCATAAACACAGCATCAAGAATGCCCAAATACGTTTCTGCATCTTTAGCACTTGCAAACATGTGATGATCATTCCACAGCTGTAAAAACAACAAGAACACAATATTTAAAAACTTATTAGAGATTAAACATGAGAGTCATTATAAAATCCCATTCTAGTAGTTCACAATATTTACTGTATTTAAACTATCACATTAAACTATCACATTAAATTATCACATTAAACTATCACATTAAACCATCACATTAAACTATCACATTAAACCATCACATTAAACTATCACATTAAACTATCACATTAAACCATCACATTAAACCATCACATTAAACTATCACATTAAACCATCACATTAAATTATCACATTAAACTATCACATTAAATTATCACATTAAATTATAACATTAAATTATCACATTAAACCATCACATTAAATTATCACATTAAATTATCACATTAAACCATCACATTAAACCATCACTATGTATTAAATTCATTCATCTTTCTTTTAATGGCAATATGTCAATGTTTCTGTTACCATTTTCCATTATACTTGTGATATCAATTTTCTGTCTATCTGTTAAATAAAGGCTTATCATATGTAATAGAACACCTTTTCACTCAAACAAGGTAATTTAAGGTGACATATGATTTGTGTCATGATTGTAATTTCAAAATTCATCAAAAAATGACAGTGCAGACCATCGTTAGACAGCAAGGCTGGGCAGACTGATCTTGGTCTGCACTGGTTGCATGGTTAAATTCAATTGCTGCCAGCAGGCTTAACTCTATTAAGTAATTCCAATATCAACCAAAGACTGACAACCTCAGTACATGACATGGATCTTGCTAATGACACATGGTCTCATAAAACAGTGAAAATTTGTGCAAAGCCAAAAGCAAAGCTTTGATAGAATGACGAGATAAAAAGACATACCATATACCAACTTTCAGGGAAGATAAAAAAATGTTAATGTGTTCAAATGAAATTTTATTTAGTACATCTCACAGAAGATATAACAGTTAAGTTTAAACTTACATTGTCTGGTTTATTCACCAGTGTAGCATTTCCAGGAGTTGCACTCCATTCACTAGAAATTGTTGATTTCACATTGCTAAATGTCTTTCTTGTTGCATGAAAAAATGCATAGCTGAAAATTTAAAGGAATATTATGTTTGAAAATATTAAGGCATAATTTATAACCATTACTTATCTATTATTTCCTTTACTATAAACAGTATTTTTTCACACAAATTTGGGGCTGAAATAGGGCACCATTCACAAAGCCAAAAAGATTTTTGTTTCACTTTTTTTTTATTTACAATTCACAATTGTAAAATTGTAGTTATTGGCAAAACAGTAAATGAGTTTATAACATAAGAAAAAGATATATACTGGTTTGAGAGATAACTCCTACACTAAAATCACACATTTTTTGCAATATCTTAATCCTCCTCTTGTATATCTTAAAAATTGAACCACCTAAACAAAGTTAAGTTCAAAGACTTTATATTACAGTACAAAATATGTATGAAAATGGAAACTGGTACTTCTGTAAGGTCCTGAATGAGGTATAGAAAACATTACCCTGTAACAGTAGATAAAGCTGTCACTTAAATTTTTAAGTAAAAATGACTGAAAAATCAGCATCAATAATTAATTGTTACATCTTAAATGTTTTATCTATTTTTTGTTGATATTTGAATAATTATTCAAAAAAAAATTCTTTCCCAAGTCAGTGGCCCATGGTCAATACAATTCTATCTACCCAGGCCCCTCATCACGATTTTGTGATTAATGTTCGGCCAATTTGGTGGTTCTAGGGGGGTATGGGGGCATGCTTCCACAATTTTTTTTATTCTATGATGCTTTCAGGAGTGTTTCTCCAGGTATTTGGCACAGTTTACAGTCTGCCTCTAGTACATATTATTTTGGCATATGTCACTGATTTTTACAGAGATCAAGTGTCAAATTGCTTATCAGTTTCACATGTTAATGCTTTTGATGTTTTTTGTTATTTTGTATTTTTCCCGCTAAGGACTACACATTTTTTTGCCAAAATATTCTTGAACGGACCATCAACGACGGACCTGCTACCTCATTAATTGTTATTTAGTAAAAAGAATGTTTTGAAGCAGCTTTACCTACAAAAAGTTTAGGTTATTTGAAAAACATTAGAAAGCTTATCACCTAAGTCCTTACAAAAAATCATCACATTCTGTCATGCTCCTTTACTAGTAAAACTACTAGGTGTCCATGTGTTTGTTTGTTAAGAAACAAAGTTATAACAATTATATTTATCAAGTGTCTGGGTTATCTATTTGTCAGAGTTTTCTCTCTGACCATTTTATATGGTGGCTGATTTATGCCATTCAGTCTGATTTTTTTCCATGCAGCACCTGGCAAAAACACATAATTACAACAATATGACAACCTAGTCATACTTTTCTTAATATACGGATCTAAAATATTGACGGCAGAATTTAAAGAGTCGCATGTTAAACTTGTTGGGACGCCAGGAGTAGCTCCCCTTACATACCCGTGAACAATTTGTAAACAACTTTGCTTAACAGTAAGTCATACAGGCTTAATATAAAACATTTTTCGGTAGTTATATATGCAAAAAAAATGGTATCCATTGCAGGCAAATTTGGCTGTCATATGAGGGGGAAATTTCGGCTTTGAGAGGGGAAAAAAACATACAATTTTGAGGGGGGAATGGGGCCGAATTTCGCCGAATATTTTGGTGAAAAAAAACACTGTACCTCATTAATTGTTATTTAGTAAAAAGAATGTTTTGAAGCAGCTTTACCTACAAAAAGTTTAGGTCATTTGAAAAACATTAGAAAGCTTATCACCTAAGTCCTTACAAAAAATCATCACATTCTGTCATGCTCCTTTACTAGTAAAACTACTAGGTGTCCATGTGTTTGTTTGTTAAGAAACAAAGTTATAACAATTATATTTATCAAGTGTCTGGGTTATCTATTTGTCAGAGTTTTCTCTCTGACCATTTTATATGGTGGCTGATTTATGCTATTCAGTCTGATTTTTTTCCACACAGCACCTGGCAAAAACACATAATTACAACAATATGACAACCTAGTCATACTTTTCTCTGTGTGGTGCCAGAGGAAAACATGAAAATACAAAAAAGTGATTACTTTGTAGTAATTTCTTGCTTGCACCTTTTCTTCACAGGGCGCCAGAGGAAATAACAACAAAGTGAACATTTTGAAAATACCAAAAGTGGTGACTTTGTTTGTTGTATTTTCTTGATTTCATATATAACGTCCTACTGAGCGAAAATATGACATGGAACACATCAGCCACCATATACATACTAATCAGACAATGGCAGGATACCAAGTCAGGGGTTCCACTTGCCAATGAATCCTGAGGGTCATTTTGACCAGTATGGACTATGTTTTACCAATTTAATACAAGGCCAAATCTCCATGATTTTATCAAAATTTGACACTCCAGTTAAAATCCTGAGGCTCAAATCAGGCCTTCGGGGAATTTGAACAGACAAAGAGTAATTTCAAGGTTCAAATGGACACCCTGCAAGTTCAATGTTCGAGAACGAGTGTTTGTCGAGTGTTTCTAATAAAAATAATAAGAATTTCTAGGGGTGGTAGATCTACATAAACACTGATAAAGACAATATTTATCACAATAAAATATAAATCTAACAAAACATTATATCAAAATCACCTAATGAATGTTAAAATAAATGTCGAAGCATGATAAAAAGTCCACATTTCCTTCCAATAAAAACAAAAAACAAAATTAAAAAGTAACAAAAAATGTAAATAAAAACATCGGAAGTTGTTGTTGTTTTATTAACCAGAACACTTCGGCTATTATCGCGGTCGCGTCTTTTAGGTTGAACACTACTATATATTGACAGCGCTAAATTATTTCCTTCGACAAAACCCATGTAACCAGTCAGATAATATATAAAATGCATATGTATACATGTAAATCATAAAATATCACAGATCATTTTGAAAAATTGCATTTGTCCCCGATTCCTTAAAAATGGGTTATTTGTAACTTTACAAAAAGACAGGAACGAAAGAAAATGTAACCCTTGCAATTATCGTGCAATAAGACATTATTCATAGTCAAGATAAAAGTGCATTATAAGTAAAGTATATGCAACAACACAGACACTTGGGGTTTGGAGCTCAAAACGCCTTTAAAATCCAAGTAAAATGCATATTTGTCAATCCCAGCACATGTACTGATCACATATATCAAAAAACTTAATATAAGCCGTTTTGAAAAAAAATCATATTTCAACATCTATAATAATAATAGATAAGTCTTATCATATCCATGATATACTGATTCATTACATATGTAAAGTTTCGCCTGAATACAGTGACTAGCTAGTATAAATGTTTGCATGATTGTCAAAATGATAACACGTTTATTTAGAAAGAGAAAAATGAATCTTGTAGTAAAATGCTGCTAATGAGATAAATCCATTAAGCTAAGGGACAAGCTGTTAAACTGAGCCTGTAATTTCATGAAAATAATATCACGATGCACATGCTTTTTACATAAAGTTTTAAAAAAAATATAACAACATATTTGTTTACCTGATTTTTACGAATCAAAATAAAACTAATTAACGCAACATGGCATTAACTGCTGGTAATAACAGCTCCTTCTATGCGACGCCGTTCACCGGCGTCGCCAATAAATTTGCGCGCGAATCCGCTCGGAAATATACCATGTGTTCCTTGGACGTGAGCAAGGCTTCCGTATGGTGGTTAATATACATATGTATATATATCTGAGGGTTGACACAACGTAATGTAGTTTTAACTTTATTTGAAACATGTATCGATACAATTAATACATTCAAAATTAGCATTCAAAATTCATTAAAGCAAAGTGGATGTGAAATTTATTGGAATATTATGAGACTCAGTTCCCCTGCTGTCGCTGATAAAATGATTCTTAATTATTATTTTCAATTCGTGGTCTAAAAGAAATATTTTACAATTACTCAAAACTTAGGCTGTATAGTTATAACGTTGATAAATGCACTGTAGTCATCTTTAATGAGCGGGATAGTGTGGGCTCCAACAATCTCGGTAATAGTGTTGTAACAAACTCCACACAATAATTTGATTGGCTTGGCTAAAGTCTGTGTAGCGAAGCAAAGTGTGGCCACTGTGTAGTAGTTTGGTGTTTTAAGTCAAATATCTTCTTATGAAGGTCTAAATGTGAAAACTGTTCAATTTTTGGCGAATAAAGACGCCGTTGATAGTGCTTGAAAAAAATTGAAAGGACATTCTTGAATATAATCAATAGTGGGACATCTCCACTTATAGAATTATTTACAATTCGACATTTATATCAAATACATTTACATGGCTGTCACTTATGGTCCCAATTATCTTCAACAGATATTATATGTCTTGAGCAGTCTCATCGTTTAAAATTGTAGCGTATTTTAGATAAACGGGTCGGTTTTGGGCTTAGAGCGTTTAATTAACATTTGTTTCATTTAGTAAAGACCCGGACTATTTTTTAAATATTTTTAACGTTATTCTTAAAGTAATTATTATTATTGTGTTGTTGTTGTTGAAATGTTTATCGGTATTTTACAAGATGTTTCTTCGCCGTCTTGGTATACTGTATATAAATCCAATTATTGTCAAGCTGGACGGATCTTTTTCACTGACATGCTTTCCTATTGTCGTTTTTTAACCAGTGTCCATAGTAAGTTTCTTTTTGTTACCAAAATTTACTTCGTTTCAATCAATGTGTAAAATAAAGAAATATATAACTTGTACGTAAAAGACTATAGCATTTTAAAATATTGTTAACAGAAATGGAGTCCTTTATTATGACTGTTGATATGTAAAGTCACGTGACATCTATCAAATGTCTCTAATATAACAATAAGGGCACTTTAAAAGTTTAGAAAATAGACTATAACTTAAGCTAAAGCAGTTTAAGAAGACAAAACATAACACCAATGTGAAATATGAAATCTTTTTATTCAAAGTTCAAAAAGGAAAATTGTTGAAGTTGTTTGCACTTGATAGTGGTTAATTGGTTTACATGTCCGAATATTAACCTCCAAAGTTCAAGGTCGCTAGCTGGGATGCGCACGTCTCCATGTACTGGTTCCAGACAAGACCGGATGGGCAGTTCTGTACGAAGGCGTTACCTTGGAGATCACACTGTATGAACTTTTTGGGGTCAGGATGAGAGAAGAAAAGAGACTTTGTGCTTACTGCTTGAGCAGTGCAGGGGTTCTTGGTCGACAAATAACCTGAAAAATATAAAAAGGTCGAGTCCATCTATAAACTGTAGCATGTAAATTTTGTGATTTTTTTCTGTTCTGTTTCTGCACATGTATTAGAATGAGATCGTTTTGATATGAAGTAAGTAGAAAATATATGGTCCTCTGGTTTCAAAAAACAAAGAAGACAGTCTATCAAGTTTGCGCTTGTTTACATACGAACAAAACAAAAAAACTCCTCGCCTTCTTTCCATTTGATATTTCTATACGTTGATATTTTAAAAAACAAGTCCCAGCAATGGTCAAATTCATTAATATTAATTTAACTAATCATTGTCACATTTTTAATGAGTTTTAATTTTAACAAAAATTAAAACAGTACAAATATTGATTTACCTGTAAGGGTACCTGTTCCAGCACCAAGTGTTCCAGGCTTGAGGACAAAGCCTGGTGCCGTCGGTAAAACGCACGATTGCCTGTTTTGATTCCAAATCATCTGCGAAGGGCACGTTAGCACGCGAGCGTTGCCATTTTGGTCACATTGGATAAACCTGAAAACCAACAAATTTAGAACAATAAATAGCAAAAAATGTTAGTTATTAGTCCGCATCAAATTTCGTTGGTAACACAGCTAGGGTACTTCACGAAGGTGAAATCGTGAATTCACAAGTTCAAATCCTAAATTCGTGAGGTTAAATTCGTGAATTCATGAAGTTAAAATCGTAAATTCACGAAACTGAAATCGTGAATTCGTGAAGTTGAAATGTTGAAATGGTGAATACATGAAGGTGAAATCGTAAATTCAAGAGGTTGAAATCGCGAATTTGTTATGTTGAAATGTTTAAATCTTGAATTCGCGAAGTTGACGATGAAATCGGGAATTCACGAAGTTGAAATGTCCCCACTGATCTTCCGTACAGACTGACGGATCTGACAGTTAGAACTAAATTTACCTTGTGTTGTCTGATTGTAGACCAAAGAAGATTTTTCCAGACTGGATGTTGCCTACAGTACACGGGTTGTTCACACCATAGCCACTAAGGTTGTTAACAAGTGGTTTACTAATCACGGCCTGTAAATAAGTGAGTGAAAATATATTTAAAATGAGATTAACTCTTTTATTAGACATCACAATTTCCGTCCATGGCCGAGTGGTTAAGGTCGTTGAATTCAAACCACTTGCCCCTAACCGCTGTGGGTTCGAATCCCGACAGGGACTTTGGATTCTTTCATGTGAGGAAGTTATCAAGCTAGCTTACTTCTACTCCGGTATCCGTTCGTACTTGAAATAATTTACGCAAGTGCACCTGAGGTCTTCCTCCAACAGTAAAGCTAGAACTTCGCCATATGACCAATACTGTGTCGGTGTGACGTAAAACCCAATCAAACAAACATTACCAGTGAATGTTTCTAAACTCTTATTCAAAGGAGATGTTGAAATGTTGAGTGCTCTTCACGCCGGTGCTGGGGTGGGGGCGGCTTCGAGTAGATTGCTCTATTAAACTGAGCCAGCAACATTTTCAGTTTTGTTATTTTTGGCATTTTGTCATTTTATTTCCAAGTTTATAATATTCGAGAGAAAGAACTACATATGACAACATGCATACTAGTATATAGCGCATCATGGGAATGTACGATTCGGCATAAGGGTGGTTTAATGGTTATTTCTTATCGCACATTGCCATTCGGTTTATACAGAATTTTATTTTAGTTCGATTGTGTAGGAAACTATAAGCTTATAAACACACTTTCGAATCCGTTCCTGGAACCAACCAGTACTGAGCAATGAGTGTAAAGTTTCTTGCTCAAGGAAACAACGACTTGCCCCTGACGGGGTTTGAACCCATGCGGCTAGCGATCATTAGATTAATTACCAGTTCCACGCGTTAACCATTCGGCCATAACGCCACATTTGAGCTTTGTGTATGAATCCAAACTGCGTTAACAAAATCAACAACTACTGGAATCAATTATTCTTTAGATTTCACTCATGTATATTTTAAAAGAGTAAAATGAAACGTTTTAAAGAATATTTTAACAAACACCAAAACATACCGTTGGATTGACGCACGTGGCTGTGGATTGTTCATAGACCTCTCCTGTTGGACACTGAACTACAAACAGTCTGTTGAAGTTGCCACACTGGAGAAACTTGGAGGGGTCAGAGGGATGTACAAAGTTGAGCTTGTTAAGGGGATTGTTCAAACATGGATTATTTTGTACTTGCCATTGGCCTGTAAATATGGTTAAAAACAAATATCATAACTTCTTATTAATAAATCATGCATTCACACTTTTTTAATACGACTCGTACCAAAACGAATGTTCATATTCAACTAAACTTTATTTCAGCAATTAAATATGTCTGAGGTTCCGGACTGCGTGTATCATAATTAAGAAGAAGAAAAAGGTTTAAGAAAATATTAACAAGGTTCTGCCTTAATGATATATTTGAATAACACAAAATTCTGTAAAGTTTTTCTGAAAACTTCGGGTGCTTTATGTTATAGATCAATTATTTAATAAAATCAGAAATTGACTTACAGTTTTGTAGCCTTGATCCTGGAAGGATTACTGACCTGTCTGCTTTTTCTGCTGTTATAATAAAAGTTGACAGCTATACTATTTACACTGTTCTACATGCAACGGTTACATTCGGCTTTTCCGGAAATATTGTAAAAACAAAACTTTTTTTCCAATAATGAATTACCGATGAACATTGCTTTTATTATAATTATTCTTTCATATCATTATTGTAGTACATTGCTTCTTACAAAGGTATAACCATATATATATCCTTAATTCCAGTAATATTACATAATTCACATTGTGGCAGATGGCTGTTTTTCTTTTGAATTTTCTTCTTAAAATCATTCTGGAAACATTTAAATAATAATTATCAACTTCATAAAGTTTGAGGTTAAAACTTTGTGAATTTTCTTTTGTTTCTGTTTGTTTTTCCTTGTCTAATTTATGATTAAAAATATTGGTGTTAGATGTATTTTAAGTCTATGTTTTTAATTTTTACAGAAAAATGAGTAGAATAAAATGTAGCTTTGAAACAAACTGATTATTAGATGTTTAGAATGGAATACAGATACTAGTAATGATGCCCAAATGACAGATTTGCTAAGTCTAGAACGAGAATAATGTTTAAACAAAATTTACTGATTCCAGTTTCACTGCTTTTGATTATATTCCATTTTATTCCATGACTTCAGTCGTTTCTCAAAACGTTAATAACATTAAAACGTTGTTGTGTTGTTTGTTGTGCTATCCTTAGGAAATCATTATTTTTTTTCAAACCAGTCGAACTTGGAATTAAGGTCCATACAGCGAAAAAGAATTAAAAATTACTTCTGAAACATTGCCAAGATTTTGATAATATCTTTGAATGAAAAAAAATGTAATGAAAATAGTATTTTATTAGAAAACTGTATAATGTAAGAGTAAAGTTTTTATAAACAACAGTACCATTATCTTGTTCGTCTGCGGCGACGTTCGCAAACGCATAAACTGCTCCGAGGAAAACGATCTGTAAAATAGCGTTCATTGTGTACAGCGTCTTGATGATGGCGATGACAGCAGAAGAAACAATGCTATATTCCCCCAAACTGGGCTATTTATAATGAACCAAGCAACACAACCGGGTCGCAGCCCTTCCGTTGAAAGGAAAATGCAAATTTGGGCGAATTTTATTTTTACGTCTATTGACAGTCGGATAGGTTAGATAATATATGTTTTTTCCACTAAGTTTGTATAAACTTTGCGGTAATCTAGCAATATTTGCCAAATATTTGCTTAAACAATGTACAGTTTTGGTTAAATCTAAGTAATGATCTAAAACATCGTGCCCTTTGATCCTTATCTAGTGTATAGATGCATACTTAAAATACATTTTCTGACGGTGTGACGAATTATAAAGGAAATATTTTATTATATTACAATTCCCATAAAATCTATACAACATGTCATTTCGCATCTATAACACATTGCCCTATGTTATTCTTTTTTATTATATTTCATCAATATTTATAAATAAACTCAAGTGAAAATTTTATATAAGATAGTATTGTATAACATGTATTTTTTCGATAGATTTGAGATATAAGTATTAGCAGATAATTTCTTATTTGCTTTTTTCTGTACTTTTTTTTATTATACAGCATTTGTTTATTTAGTCAATGTTGTATATTTTCGACACATAGTATCAAAAAATAGTCAGTGCAATATAAAAAGGAAAAAGTACTGTTAGGGTGCATTGGACAGTATTGGTGTAAATTAAATTATTTTCATCGTAATTGTGAAAAAATAGCCAAAAATAATCGGATTTAAAACAAATTATTCGTGAATAATACTGTCTAGGTAAAATAACAAAAAAAAAATATAGAAAACGAGAAAAAATATATTAAAAGTATCCTAAATAAAAAATACCAAGCCGAAAGTGAATTTATTGTTTAAATGAACAACAGAATAAGGGAATCGAAGACTGATAATTAAAAATAAAAAACAACATTCAAATCATAAAGCACATGTAGTCTAATGCAGAGAAATACTTATTAACAGAGCGCAATATTTTCCTCTGCACTTTTTTGCAGTAGGGTATGACACGTAGTACAAATTAATTATTGAAGTTGCGGAACTACGCGGAACAAAGTTGTCCATCGTAAAGAAATGTTTGCCAAAGCTCGTTAAGTACCCGAAAAAACAACACATGATTAATCTTTAAATGTTTTTGCACATCATGCTATTATCTTAAGACAGATAGATGTAAATTGCTTGATGCAGTTTCCTTCTAACGGAAGGGTAGCGACCCGATTGAAGTGCTTGGTGCATTATAAATACCCGTATATCACCGTTTGTACTGCACAAGTGTTTCTGCTATCTTCAGTGTCAAGTCGTGGTAAACAATGAACGCGTTTTTACAGTTCGTCTTTCTCGGAGCAGTGTGCCTGTTCGCTAAGATTAGCGCAGTGGAAGAAGAAGGTTCGTGTTTTAAGATATTTTTTTATTTTTTCATTCATTCATTTATTTATTTATTTTTAAAATTACATTTTATGATTTTTTAAATTTTTAAGTGTCAATTAATCATTTAAAGTAACGATAGATATTTTTAAAAGAATATATTCTATATATATCATATTCTTTTGAGAACGAAAACCACACTTAATATCTATATGATGAAGTTTTATTTCATTGTTCCGTCAAATGAAGATTTATTAAGCAAAGGCCAAAATCTTATATTTAATAGTGAAGTAACGAATTAGAAGAAAAAGTTTAAGTAAACTATGATTAAAATACATGTGTGTTAGTAAACGTTGTATGAGGATAGATAGAAACCGTCTTTGCATATTATTCCACACTAACATTTAATCGGACACGAACGATAACTCTGCGTAGTGACTATAAGATATGTAATTGGAAGGGTGAGCGAAAAATACTTTCAAGGGACTTTCCTTAGAATATGATCTTCTTCATTTATCACGTAAATTTGTTATTTTACATTACAGGTGATAAATCTGATAGATCAGTGATCCTTCCTGGGTCAAGGATTCAAAACTGTAAGACATTTTTATGGTTCTAGTTTAGTTGTTCAAGATATGTCATATCAAAACCTCATCAAACATTTTGTGATAAATCTAAATCAAATACATTTTAAGTCAGGCATAATAGATCTAATATAAAACATGTTAAGTTTTTCTCAAATATCGAGACAATTTCACTTAAATAAAGTCAAATGGCTTTTCTAAACAAAATAGCAACAGTTAATTGTAAACTTGGTGTCCTTCACCGAGGATTTGCAGGCACTGTTGGTCAAACTTTACTAAGATAGCAAAATCTGTACTAAATGCACACGAACTTGAGTTGGTCATGTCACCCGCTTTTTGGGGACGAAAACAATTGAGAAGCCAGCTTTACAAAGGCAATATGGGGACATACGGTAGATAAAACGTGACTCATTATAAGTCCGTGTGCATTTTTCATTTTAAGTTTGTATGTAATGTTCCATGATATGATTTGATATATTGTATGAATGGTCGCCGGTGTTCTCAAATAGTTAAATTATAACACCCGATTCTATTACAGGTCAATGGCAAGTACAAACCAATCCATGTTTGAACAATGCCCTTAACAAGCTCAACTTTGTACATCCATCTGACCCCTCCAAGTTTCTCCAGTGTGGCACCTTTAACAGACTGTTCGTAATCCAGTGTCCAACAGGGGAGGTCTATGACCAGGCTACTAGCACGTGTGTCAATCCAACAGTAAGACCAAAAGTTATATTTATACTTTTAGTCTAGATATTGATGCCGTTGTCCTTAAATATAATCAATGTTTAATGTTTATTGTCATGGCCCATCAATATAACCTGAAATAAGGTAATGTAATAGCTTTGTTCATCCATTCGTACGTGCCACCATTTAGATCAAATCGTAACAAAATTTAGCTTGAATGCATAATGTCACAATGTTGCACATCAAATGCCACAAAAAGTCATCTTGCGTTATCGGGTTATGACCATTTATTACCGTAAATAAGAATTTCTTAAGAAATGCATTGCATGTATATTAAAGGCACATTATGCCTCAGAAATAAGTTTTTATTTTTTTAAAAAGATCAAAGGTAATTGAAATGTGTGTATGTATGAGGACACGATGTTTTTCAAATGCCATAAAAGACCATTATTTATATACAGGCTGTAATCAGTCAACCATTAAACAACCTGAGCGGCTATGGTGTGAGCAACCCATGCACTGTAGGCAACATCCAGTCTGGCAGAATCTTCTTTGGTCTACAAGCAGACAACGCAAAGTAAGTTGTTGTTTTTTGTTGTTTTTTTTGTTGTTGTTTTTTTTTTACATTTTATGTTATATTCATTATAATCACTCCTTTCCGTGACCAGTATATCATAAGAAAGACAATGTAACCCCCAGATATGTAATTTTACTTTTTCTCCAGCGAGTTTTGAAACGTACTTATAACTACCATTTCTTGGAAACAAGTCTTAATCATTTAACTAACATTTGTTTACCCTGATTCTAAATTTATCGCTTTTCAGGTTTATCCAATGTGATCAAAATGGTAACGCTCGCGTGCTCACGTGCCCTTCGCAGATGATTTGGAATCAAAACAGACAGTCGTGTGTTTTCCCGACGACTCCCGGCTTTGTCCTCAAGCCTGGAACACTTGGTGCTGGAACTGGTACCCTTACAGGTAAATCAATATTTGTAATGTTTTTATTTTTGTTAAATTTAAATTAACCCCAGTTTATTATCACTAGAGCAAAAACTCAATGAGGTAAACTTATAAATGTGTCAATCCTTTTTTTCAAGACTCTTGATAAATATAATGGTAATGAAAATCCACACACAGTTTCTTATAATTATGTGTTTTCTTCAATTTTTATGATAATTTAAACTATATAAAAGAAACACGATGACTGCTCTTTATATGGCAAATAGTGATATACATTACTAAGTTTTTTTTTTCTTCGATTGTTCTTTTCTGACATTTGTTTGTTTGCTTTGTTTTTCGTTTGTTAATGTTTTTTATATTGCGAAAATGATGCGAAAATGGTACAATTTGCTGCAACAAAAGTAATCGGGTTGGTTTGTTTTAAAGATCAGGACTATTTTAAAATGATCTTGTTATTGTAGTGACTAGCCATTAACTTAAGATGTGATAAAAAACAATTACAACAATTGTTTCACCGTCTGTTGACAAATAATATATAATATCTTTATTTAAGGAAGATAAAACATGAAGATTCCCCATTACATCGTTAAACATAAATAACATATCTAACTTCTAAGAGTCGCCTTCTAAAGTTTATGTATTTAAGTTTATATATTTAACTAAATATTTCAGGATATTTGTCGACCAAGAACCCCTGCACTGCTCAGGCAATAAGCACAAAGTCTCTTTTCTTCTCTCATCCTGACCCCACAAAGTTCATACAGTGTGATCTCCAAGGTAACGCCTTTGTACAGAACTGCCCATCCGGTCTTGTCTGGAACCAGTACCTGGAGACGTGCGCATCCCAGCTAGCGACCTTGAATTTCGGAGGTTAATTTTCCGACAAAAACACCATGTGACCTTAATAAATAGCCTGTACCGAATCTGAATAAATTTTAGCATTGAATTTTACTTATTTGTTTTGCTTTTATTTCGACTTTCATTATAAGTATTTATCATGCCCTACCGAGCTTCGATTATATTTTTAAGCAAGAGCGATTGATAAATCAAAGTACATGTAGTTGATCAGTGGCCTAGTGGTACTGACCCCTATTGATACGTGTTTTATTCCTTTCCGGGCCACCCTAAAGGTCATAATACTCGTAATCATGATATACTGGTCACTCCTTTGCTTTACGCTCGGCATTAATAATTCTACGACTGATGGGTATAGTGCAAGTAACATTAGGTTGTATTATGTTTTTAAATGTCTATAGCGTTTTATTTCAGTGGACCAAGATTTAGACCTTAAAGTAATTTAATATTGCTTTTTTCCTAAATAAACTTATTCGTTTAGTCAGTCTTTCAAGTAACATCTATTTTGATTTTGACCCACAAAAAACGCGCATGGGTGATAGATTTTTACCACGTCGCTATATAAATAAGCGTAATCTTAAAATGTCTATAAAATTAACTCCAGCCAAATTACAAGCACCATTAGTAATCTCTTAATTTGACAAGATTGCTATTACAAACAGAAATGGTTAAACCGCCGGTACATTTATCCATACTATATTTAACAGCGCGGAAATTGAACAATAATGAAAACGCCATGGTCCATCAACTGGTGTATTTATATTTAATGACCTACTTGTCTTTTGCTTTCTCTATTTGTATTTGTTTGATTTGATTGGGTTTTTGTGTCAAACCGACACAGTGTATAGGTCATATGGCGGTGTTCCAGCTATACTGGCATTATTACTAGCACGAACGGGCACCTGAGTATAACAACTATACGTATTTGTATAAAAAAAACAAGACAGTGTATTAACTTTGTTCAGACGTCAGTTTATTCAGAAATATTGCAGTAAAACAGTGATAAAATCATAACAGCAATAACAGATAATACAGCATGGGCATTATTTAATGGGCATTGTTTATAACAATATATAGCATGGACATTTGAGCCGAGCCATGACAAAACCAGCGTAATGCGTTTGCGACCAGCATGGATCCAGACCAGCCTGTGCATCCGCGCAGTCTGATCAGGATCCATGCTGTTCGCTTACAGACCCTATAACAAGTAACCAAACTGATAGCAAACGGCATGGATCCTGATCAGACTGAGCAGATGCGCAGGCTAGTCTGGATCCATGCTGGTCGCAAACCCATTATGTTGGTTTTGTCGTGATGCGGCTCATTTATTTGTACAGTAAAACAACTCATTTTAAAAGATGAGATTATAGTTAACAAAGTATACATCCAGGAGAAATACTCTCACACCAGAAAACGCTGTAGAAATATATTTACAAACACTGGATTAAAGGCACATAAAGCCTCAGAAATGAATACATTTTTTTTCTTCAGAAGAAAGAACAAAGATGTGCTTAATTATGTTGTAACTATGAATTTAGAGCACATATTAAATGCTAGTCACCTGGAGAAACTAACACTGAATATGAAACTATGTTCCATATAGATAAACAATGTGGTTATTTTGACTTTCCATAAAAATATTTAAATCACTATAAAATTAAAATGACAAATTTCTTCAAGTTCAAAATAAGCAAATGATGGTACAGCTATATGACATCTGAGTAACATATTTCAAACTGTATACCCAAAAAAAAAGAAGAAGAAAAAAAAAAACAACTTTTGAAAAGTAAACATATAGCATTTTTGAGGCTGAATGAGCCTTAAATACACAGATTACATTGTATTTGGTTGTCTGAAATCTTAACTTATTCACGCATGAAATAATAAGACATTGTTCAGTTGTCATTTGTTAACAAGTATAAAATGCAAAGAATAAAAAACATCTTATTTCATAGGTTTAAAGTAACCTTTCTTGTTATACATATCAGGTCTAAATATTAGACCAATGATAATGAAAGCTGAAAAGGAGTTACTTTGCAAACTTCAGTTTCATAACATTATAGTTGCAGATACATTTTAGACTCTTGGGGTCCTAATCTGGTGATAAGTTAAAGCTGCACGCCTCCAGATAAGCAAAAATATTTCGATAAAATCAAACCTGAGAAAAGTGTACTAAGATTTCAGGAAATGTATAAAGATTCAAAATTCTAGTAAAAATTTACATGTTATGTGTGATTACTGAACTAAATTGTTCAGTATTTATATTTAACTATATTTCTACTGCGTTACTAACGCAGTAAGGGCTATTTTTGCATATTTTGACCTCTTTATAGTAATTTATATAGGTTGTAAGTGTCATTGATAATGTGTAAATTACATTCTTTTGGTAACTTTACCATATTATACTGTTAAATACATTTTCAAATTTTCATGAAAATTAGCATGAAAATTACATTATTTTGGTAACTTTACCATATTATACTGTTAAATACATTTTCAAATTTTCATGAAAATTAGCATGAACCTGGAGGCGTGCTGCTTTAATAATGTAAGGCAATTCATTCACTGAGTCTAAATAAATATAATTAACTCTACCAGTAGCCGTAGTCAAGCCAATTTCAAAATTATGTTATGTTAATAATGCATTTACATAATATTATAGAGGTGACCAGTTATATATGTAAGTTTAATATAAATGTGTCGAATGTGATATGACGTCAGGTAATAAACTATTCTCTACTATTACAAGTTTGTTAACTTAGTAAATGTTTTTGAGATCATTAGATATATAACTATATATATTTATATATACGAGAGACATGTAAACAATGCAACTAGTAAAATGAGCCGCGTCACGACAAAACCAACATAGTGGGTTTGCGACCAGCATGGATCCAGACCAGCCTGCGCATCCGCGCAGTCTGATCAGGATCCATGCTGTTCGCTTACAAACTCTATAACAAGTAGAGAAACCGATAGCTAACAACATGGATCCTGATCAGACTTCGCGGATGCGCAGGCTGGTCTGGATCCATGCTGGTCGCAAACGCATTATGTTGGTTTTGTCATGACACGGCTCATATATACGAGAGACATGTAAACAATGCAACTAGTAAAATGTACTAATGAAATTCATTCTCAATGTCATAATAATCACATAGTTCACATAACTACCAGAAATTCTTGCTAAACAATAGTTACATGTAGTATAATAGTTTCTTTTTGATTTATCAAATGTAAACAATAATAGTTGGTGTTCAGAAATGAGGTTAAACTATATTGTATTACTCACAAAAATAAAAAAAATCTTTCTAGGCCTAAAACGGTTTGCAGTGACCCTGTGTGTTGTATTAAAAAACAGTCAAAGATAAATAAAAACAAATATATTTAAGGTATTAGGATAAGAGAAATATGCAAAGATAAGCTGATTAAAGAATGGAGAACCGGTTTGTTTTGAACAAAACAAAAGCTACATTTGTATTTTTTTGTTATGAACAATTCCACCATTTTATTTTCAAAATTATTGTGTGCGTTTTCATTAAGTTAAAATCAAAATATAAAATATAACAAAAATGTAAGTTCCACAAATGTAAGTTAAAAACATAAGATATATAGCTTTGTTTTAAGGTTGCACATTAAAACAGGTATATAAAAAGTTGTTTCTGCAAAAACAGACAACATAAAAATGGATTTTAATTCCAACTGACTGATTTTTCTTGTGTAAGTTGATTTTGTTTTCATCCCATTTCGTAAAAACAATGAAACACTTTTGATCAATTTTAAAGTGCGATCAGTTTAAGCAACTTATTCCAATCAAAAATGACTGTTTTTTTGTTTGGTTTGGTTTTATGGTGCACCAAAACAATTTAGGTCATATGCTGCCTAAACAGGAAGATAAATTTTGGCTAACCTTAGGTGTTACAAACTTAACCAGAATAACTTTCATCATATTTTTCTACATAATACATTGTTGTACAATGTCACTAACTGACACTGCAAGATTTATCTATTCAATATAATTCTTCGGAGCTATAAATAGCATGTAGTCTGAGAGAGGTATGGGATGGGGTGGGTTGTGTTTGGACTAGATACATAAACAGTCTTGACCACCAAGGGTCGCTTCTTTAGAACAATAATTTGAAACAGCAGTGATGTCATCAGATCATAATTCCTGTATACACATTTGACACAAATGATAGAGAATATATATAATATACAAACACAAATGTATTAACAGTAGTGAAATTATCCTTAAAAATATCAAAAGGTAAAAAGCTATAACTTTCAAAACTATTCAAAACATTTTCAAAAATTATATAAAACCATGCAATACTGTTTTTTTTATATAAATATGCTTATATTTGAAGAGAGCTTCATCCAATTTTTTTTTCCACATTTTTTTTAACCCACATAAATCATGTTGGAAACAAGAATAAGACATTCGGATTGCAAACATTTTCTTATTTCTAAATCTTGTAGGTTTTGCAATGATTTCATGTTTGCAGTGACCCCTTTCTAAAAATTTACAAAAAAATCTCATGTCAAATTTAGGTAGTGTTTATAATTTTTAACAAGAAAGAATACCATATAACTGATTACTGACAGTTAAAAACAGTTTTTTACCCTTTAAGTGTGAAATATAACAACAAGACATATATCTGCTAAGTTGTAAATTAGAAACAAAAGTACTAATAATAGATGAGCAGCAAGTGTCAGTAAAGCTAATTCATTAAATCAGTTTTGATCAAAATAGGAATATTTCTTTAAAGGCACATTCAGCCTCAGAATAAGTTAAAACTTTTCCCTTTAAGCATAGGCAATTTGTATTTAAATGAATTAAGAGCATGTTAGATGCTTATAAAATGAAGAATGAAGCATTGAGTGGAATAATTTGTTATAAATGAAGCAAAATTTAAACAAAGATGCATTTTTTTTTCAATTCACTATAACCTTACTAATGGTCAGATTGTCTAAAGAGTAAAAAAATGGTTTAGTTATTAGCGCCAATGATGAGTACCATTTTAGAAACAAAATGCCCCCCAAAAAAAGCCTTTTACAAATAAAAATAATTAAAATTTTGGGGCTTATTGGACCTTTAAAAAAATTCTAAATCATGATTTGTACAGTCCATTTTATAGATTCATCCAAAACACATCCATACAACTCTGCTAAATATATCTTGATGTGTAAACACTGTGGCAGATTTACTCCAATGACATACACACTGTCAATATTTCATTAACAATAACATAAACACTATGTGTGTATACAATATGTACACAGGAGAACACATGATTATCCATGTATTTGAAAACTATATACGTTGGCCTATGGCCACTTCTTAACACAACATGCTTAACAAAGTAAGTATACTGGTCACTTCTCTATCAACAATGTAATATGTGTAACTATGTTACATAAAATTCATGCCGTGCAAAACTATTGTATTTGCACAGTTCATCACTTTAGTGCAATAATTTATTTACATTTTGTAAAAGGATATGATTTCTGTATAATGTATGTTATGTTATAAAATATACATGGCATCATGAATTCGCGACCCAACAGATTCGCAAATGATAGCGAAATTAAAACATCGCGAATAATACTGGATTTACAGTAAATTTTGAAGGACTTCTTCTGTAACTGCACTAAGGTGACAAGAGTTGTTTGAAGCAAATTCAATAATTTTGCACATAAAAGAAACTTCATAAATGACAGTAAATCCTCAACAATTTATAACAAGGATCAACTGGTTAAGTTTGCGTCTGTTGTAATTCCCGCTTGAGTAACGATCATCTGCGGACTCAGAAACACCGACTGTCCTGTGGTCAGATCACTTTGCGAATTAAGAACGTTCGCTATTTCCGACGATGCGGAAAAACTTAACGACGATGCAAGACCTTGATTTGCCATCTGAGAGTTGTACTCTGCCGTCTCCATACGTAAAATATATGGTATAATACTGTCTATCTGGACATTGCCAATCAAACCAGCAAAGAATAGTTCCTCCATTATATTTGCTTGAAGAGCTTGAAGGGGAGGTAACCGCAATAAAAGTTTGGCCAGTCTATCCGGGCTGTCTGGATGCGACTCTTGTAGATATTGTTGTAATTCTTTCTGTATTCTTTCTTGAAATTTCTCAATCTGAGCTACATTTGGTAAAGATGGATTGTCTGCAACAAGTAAAACATAGTATCGTAGAAACAGAATACCTTTCATAGCTAATACTTGAATATTCCCCAGATTGCACTATCAATTTATATCTAATTTAAGGCAAAAATCATTGAATGAATGTTCAAGAAAAATGATATCATAACCAATGTAAATCAAAATAAAACCCTAAAATTTAAGAGAAACTACAAATTCTTTACATAAACAGTTTGCTAACAAAATGCTGAGACCTCCATTTTGGGGTATAATTAAGAAAATATCAGAAAAACTGACTTTTTTCTACAAACTATTCATTTTTATTCCTAACCTAATTAATCAACAATATATAAAAGGTAAAAACAGCTCAAATTGTATAATATACAATTTCCTGCTTGTATGTCTGCACATCTGTCCAGTCTGACCCAGCAGTCTTCTGTTAAAAGCTGAATTTATATATTTCACACTGAAATCCCCTAAACATCAAATGGACTGTTCCAAATTCAAAGAAGGGCAAGTCCATTACACAAATTCAGCAGGTCAAAGGTCAACTATATTGTAAATGCTACCTGGTGAGAAGAGAAGAAGTGCTTTAAGGTAAGCATACTCCTGGTTGTCTACTTGTAAAGCCTGCATCTTCTGCATATAATTCTGTAGTTTTAGTATGTGTTCTATCACTAACTTTACACGATCCCCTACATTCTTATCTGAAATATATAGATTATATTCTCTGCTTATACACATGCTAAGTTCTTAGGTGAAAAACAGAATTTTGCTGAGCTAAGACATTTTCTGTATGCATTACACAAATTCTCAACATTCTATGCATTATACACATAATTTTGCTTACATGATCCTTTATGTTCTTGTGTGTTATACACAAATATGTCTCTTTATTATGATTATTTTATTTACACAATTCCTAAGTTCTTTTCTGAAATATAAAATCTTGTCCAACTAAAAACTCCTGATAAAAACTTGTTGAACTAGACAATATAAGGTCTATTTGGGGTATATATATCTAGTATCAAACACATTACGTTTACCTGTTTCAATAGAGGATTGTAGATGATTTAAAATTGCCATCAACATTGTGGAGAGAGACATGGTTTCTGCATGCTGAGCTAAACCCAGTGTAAACAAGCCACTCCAACAGTTCCGCACTAATAATGTCTGAACGTCTTGACTGAAACAAAAATGTAACTATGAATTTCAACGCTGCTGTTTTTACATGATGCATTTAATAATTGTTTTCAGTTTTTGAGGATCATTTTATCAACATTGATTATTATTAAAATGAACACTGCCAGCAAAATCAATGCTTGAATGGTATCGAGTCAGGCTTAAATAAGACGGGAGAGTCATTATGGTCTAAACTTGCTCTTCAGAATAAAGGCACTTCGGTACGCACAAAATGTCTTTTATATCATACAAGCATTGATAATGAAACAATATATGTCCTGTTAGCATGTTGGTAATGCAACCAACAAAATCTGAAGACTCTAACTGTCAAAGTCATTGTTGCCTTGACCTCATGCTCCTAAATATTATTGAGTCCAATAATAAATTAATGTCAGAGTCACATTGACTTTGAAACCAATTAGCTTTAGCCAACTTCTGCATTAAATCTGAGGAATTATGGCCAAAGCATTTTTTAGATGTTAATTGGGAGAACTTTATGTAGTCATGGTCAGTTACCCTACTGAATCAAAATCAACAGCAGCAATCTTGTAGTAATGTTCAACTTCCCCACTTAAAGCAGTGTTCTTTTCATATTGATTAAACTGGGTCCAGTTGAATGAAAATATTTCAGTTTAACTGTATCAAACGTCTAGGAGATATTTACTTAAATTGTTGAAATGGACCCATCATTTCCAGTTAACTGTCTTAATATTAATATTTCTTATCTGTTTAGCAGTAATTTCGATATATCAATATATTGGAAGTGTCATACCTTAAATGTTACAGTACAATACAATAATAGTATTCTGACAAATACAAATGTTAATACAATGATGACATTTAACTGTCTTGAATGTACTATCTTGAGGTGCGGATGTACTTACCTGAGAATGTTGAAGGCAGATATTGAGCGAGTCCAATGCATGGATAGAAACAGCAATCTTGAGGCACTTTCACAGATAAAATGAACATTTAGATATGCAGGCATTGGAGATGGTGTAGTCAAACTGAACACAAAGTTTTGTCTTGTTAATAATGGTCCTGAAATAAATATTCAAAATCATTAACTTACATCTCATCCCTAGCACATACCTGATATGAAATTCGTTTCTTTTTTTTTCTTTTTTTTTTAATTTTTTTTTCTAATTTGTAACTTTATTTTCTAATTTTCTTATACAAGCATACTAACAAATTTTGAGTTCATAAAGACATACATTACAGCATTTCATGGATTCGTATAAACAAACTGAAATTCTGATATTTATATATAACAATAGTTTTTTTAGTTCATATAACAAAATACATAGGTTTTCAAGTAAACAAACATTAATTGTACATGAAGACAATAAAACTGGTTTTATTTCATTACCATTTTTTTTAAAATTACAGGAGTTGAGTTCATATAAACAGATTGTTTTTATATACACAGACATGAAAAATATTGGTAATGTATACATATCTAAACTGTATTGACAGATTTTGTCAAATTACCTTGTCAAATACAATTTTAAAGCAAAGCTTGACAATTTTAAAAAGTCAAAATTACAGTAAAGCAAGTGAAAGTCTTATAAGCTATATAACATAAATATAAAGTAATTTCTATTCAAGATGTTCAGAAATGACACACTCAGGCACATGGCTCATTTATGAAGGTGCATAAACAGAATCTTTCAATAACACTTTTCTGGTCATTTAAGGGCCATAATTAAAGTGTTTTGATCAATTTTACTACCTCTTGACCTAAGCATAAATTGAAATGTTGCCAAATTTCATTCAGGACCTCCAAATGTTACACAAGAAATTATAAGAGCATGGCTATTTCATCAATAAATGGTTTGAAAAAATTCAAAGGCCATAACTGTAAAGTCCAATTATCAAATACGCTTATTCTCAAACTTGGCGGATATATTCTTACCATGTATGTTGTAATAATAGGCTTGGCTCCACATTATAGGAAACTATTTAGTCATATAGATTGGCTTTTACTATATCAGCATATAACTTCCCACAGTCTCCGATAATCACCATGATGTATAATTTTATTATCCTATCATCATTTATTTTATATCATTTTATATATACAACAATTCATGGACAGACAGACCTAAAATAGTATTTTCATTAAATAATTTTAATTTTGTTATATAAGAAGAGATGATATTATAGAAATCTGTAAAATTGAATCAATACCATCAACGTCCATGATAATGGAGCTGTCGTCTACAGACGTGTCAAAATCAGACAGCTTTGATTGGTCTTCTGATAAACTCTCATCCTGTAATACATACATGTATATATTGTGACGCCTACATAATATAATTATCTAAAATTCAAAATCTATCTTCATACATGAATACATAGCAACGCCTACATAATATACATACAATTTCAAAACCTTTCTTCACACTTACAACAAATTTATATCATTGTCTTTTAGAAGAGTATAATAAATCATTAACCCATTACCTGTTCAACTTCTTAAAGGCCCATTACGTCTTAGAAATGGCATTATTCAATAGTTATTTCCAAAAAAAAAAAATGTTTATTTTTGGTAGTTACAGTTTCAAAAAACATACTCATTTGCTATATACAAGAACTTTCTTTTGCATCTTTAGCTTTTTTGGCAATAAGTAAAATTATAGTGAATAAGTATTTTCTATGAAAGTCAAATACTTATTTGTTTATATTTTTGCTACCTTTACAAAACATAACTGCATATTTAGGCTACTTTTTTCACTTTTCAAACATCTAATATGCTCTTAACCCATTATTTAAACATTATTAAACACATGTTTGACATTTCTGAAGAATGAAAAAAATAATGATTTCTGAGGCATATTGTGCCTTTAAACAGACTTGTTCAGCTTTCATTTTTCTGAACAGTCCATTGTAAATTTTAGGTATATCAATGTTAAAAGTCAGCCAGCAGAATAGAGTCTGTTTAGACTGCATTCTGGCAAAGTTAATCACTTTCTTTTCCAGCCAATCAAGGGCAAAATGGTCTTTATTATAAACTTTTCCTAGATGCACTTAAATGATGTCTTATCTGTCAAGAATCTAAAATGATGGTAATTAACACTTAAAAACCTTGATAAAATCAGCTAATAAACATCAATGAAATGTATGTACCCTAACCACTAGCCCTACCTTTGAAAAATATTCTGAGATGAAAATAGATTTAAGGGTAAACAATGTATCAAATGTCAATAACCTCGGTAAAGTAATACATGTATCAATTGTTTTTAGCGACAATTCTACTCAGAGCGTTGCTCTTTGAACTTAATAAAGTAACAATTGAATCCTAAGGCATCACATATTGTCACCTTAGTGCAGTAACTGGTTAATTCCTATTAAATTATATAAGGAGTAAACCCATTATTGCACTAAAAAGACAATATTTTCTCTGAACAGATTTTGCAGATGAAATTTGTCAAACTTCTCATGTTCACCCTTTAATCAATGTGATTTGTTTGTATTGTCAGTTTTTATGCTGTTTTCAACACATTATTTGGTCATATCTCAGTGGCTGGTCAACTTAACCAGCTTTACTGGATAACTAACCAGTTATTATCAATATCTCTGTAAGTGGCCAACTACTTATCCTACATGATTTCTAAATCATCGGTTAGAAAAAGACAAAGACCATAAGACTCAATGTCAAAAATAAATTGTCACACAGAAAATCCCACTCGCTCGAGGATTGAACCAGGGACCCCTGGATTAAAAACTGGTGCCAGAAAAACCCAGGTATATTAATATATTATTATCATACCTGACTATTACTCCTACTCTGTATAGCCTTTGCTAGTGTGTCAAATGCTTTAGCAACAGACTGGTTCACATCACTCTGGTTGCCATTAGAAACCGGCTGATCGCTGTCAGGTTTACCCATTAAAGCCAATGTTGTTACCACATTAGCCAACGTACTCAGATCTATAAATATATAAATGTATTCAATTATATAACAATATTAATTATGTAAGTTAAACAGAAAGTTCTATAAAAGCAAATATTTTAGCTAACTTTGTGGTTATCTAAATTTCAAAGGTCATTGTGTTCTTCAAAAGTTTGCATTCCTTACTGGTTTTAACTTTTATTTTGAGGCAGGCATTATTAAAAGAATCATTTTCAAAGCATTTGCATGTGCTTTCAAAACACATGCTAACAGGGTGGTTGTTCATCATCACAAAGCCTCATAGTTATCTACCTTTTTGCCCTTCTTCAAAATAAAATCAAAGGGTGTAAAGCAATTTTTAATTGGTTCTTCTGACTGCATTATATAAAAAAAAACTTCAATCTAGAGGTCAATATGACAATCACCTGTAACACAAAGACATAAATTTAAACCTTAGTGAGCATTGCTTTGATCAACAGAATTTAGTTATCTTAACAATAACAGGTTTTGACTCTAGGTTTCTCTATTTATTAACTAGTATTCAATCACCTTATAAAATATTTGACCTAGCTTTATCTATCGGCATGTTTTGACGGCTTTTCACCCCCAAAGAAAAAAATGCCATGTTTAGGCCCCAAACACTGTTTTTCGTTTGAGAAATGTTGATCACTTTTTTGGCTGTGCCCCTATCAAAAAGGTACATCAAGAGGGTGCCAGAGGGGGGGGGGGACCCCTTCTGTTTGGGGTTTGAAGGGGACAGTAGCCCCCCCTCATTGCCAGGAAAATTATGGACTTTTAAGGGGCTGACAATGGTCTCAGGTTGATTTTAAAGTAACGTTTAACCAACGCTGAAAAGCCTTAGACTCTATCTCAATCCATTATGAAGTTGCAGCACTTTGAAATCAGTTTTGATTGACAAAAACAACACAAAAAAGTGATTATTTGGGCCATTTTGAGACATCCCCCTGTTGCCATGGTAACAGGAAATTAAAGATTGAGCATGCTGTTATAAAGGCTATAATCCAGTCAACGTTTGTGCCAAGTTTGATCAGTATTGAAGCATTTTTTTATAGTTTTATAGCAGTTTGAACTTGTAACAGGAGGCTTTTTCAATGAAAACAGCCATTTTTCGCAGTATGCTCATTGGCAGTAAAAGGTTAACTAATATTCAATCATATTATCATATATTTACATGTATCTAGATAAGAAGATTGTTACCTGTGTTAGTGGATGTAGGTGTTCCTAGAACTACTGGTCCTTGGTCAGTTTGTACAAGTCTCTCCTGTAAGTTTGCCAGCAAGTTGGCAGCTTGACCTTGTACTTCATCTTCATCACTCTATGATACATCACAATAAATATTACTACAGCATTACAACAAGATTGGCAATTAGGTGGGAAATATTTGCATTTCTAAGGAAGGTAAGTAATATAAGGAATATCCAAGAAATACTGTTATTTTCAGGAAATATTATTTTTTCTTTATAAACAACCAGTCTTTGTGACTACTTGCCATAGATTCAGGTATTCCTGGAAAAGAATTACCACCATGGAAAATTTAAGTCAATTGTGATTTACAAGAGAATAATGGTGACCTTAATCGTTCACCTGAGCATATAGTCTTTCATGATAATGTCATTCAGACTGAGTTTCATCAAAATGTGCCCAGTGGCTGAAAAGTAAATGTTGTTTTGCTCTTACATCTTTACTTAGCTTACATGCAGCCATCTTTCTCTGCGGACAGTAACAATTTGCGCCATTTTTTTGTAAAGGACCACCCAAAAATAATTCTTATTAAATTTCATCAAAATTTAACTGAATGGTTGTTGTTTAACACTAATTTCTATTTTAATTCTGGTGGTTGCCACCATGTTAAGCCACCTTGGTCAGCAGTCAATGTGTTTAGGGTAGATAAAAATCTTTTAACTTTTAAAAAAACAAACACTTTTACTGAAGTTGACACAGATGCATTCCTGCAAAATGGTGAGCAATTAATAACACTTAACAGTCATATATTTTCCCCTTCAAACAGTATACATGGTCAGCTTATTGCAGTAACAGGTTATGGGTCATATATTTCCCCTTTAAACAGTATATATTGTCAGCTTATTAAATCCTTCTTAATTTAATAGGAGTTAACCAGTTATTGCACTAAGCAGACAACATTTGAATTACCTGAAAAGGTTAACTTAATGACAAATTAAGAAACAATAATAATTCTTTTTAAAGTTTCCCATAGTGTAAACAAGAACTCCTCCTAATATGTGCAGCTTTTGGCGAAGTTTTCATGTAATCCAGTCAGTGGTTATAGGGACATAGCCTTGACAGATAATTAAAATTTATGACTAAAGTACAGAAAGAATTTTTTTTGCAAAACAAAAATGCAGATTACAGTAAAGAGATAATCATTTATACAAACATACCCTAGGATTAAACATTGGTATAGCTGTAGATGGACTCTGTAGGTCTTTACGTATGTATATTTTCTGTGTAGATGTAGCAACCATTGTTGGTGATAACTTTTCTTTATCTGTCGGCTTCCTCTCCTGCTGTACAGCTACAATCAAACAAGAAAATATTTATCTATTTTTTTTTAAATATTTTTTTTGGTTGGGTTTAAATCACAAGGACACTTTTTAAAGGTCATATGGCAACTTTCCAGCTTTACCGGTGGTGGATGCTCCACCGTGCATTATTTCAGGCAAGAGCCGGCACCTTAATAGAAACCACTGGCATTCCTTAAGAGATAGTCCTTGACAAAAAAAATAATGTTATTTTTAATCTCAAAAAGATACATTAAAGTCATTTTTTATTTACCAAAAGATATGTATCTTCTGATTTTATTAATTCTTTAACATATAAATTCATAAAGTATGGTGAATAGTCAGGGACTACCTTGGACTGAAAATTTAGGGAGAAGTGACTTCTCCCTTCAGGAAAAATAGGGAGAAGTTTTGAAATTTAGGGAGAAGTGATCATCAAATCCAGTTATATCATTGAATTTTTTTTTCTAATTTTATTTCACAAAATATACATGTACACCTTTATATGTACATGCATATAAAATATACATGTATATGGCATGGAAAATAAACAAATGTGTATTTGAAAATCGCTATGATGATATTTAATGAAGTATTAGTTGCTCAATAAAGTTTATTTAAGCATTTGATTTACATCAACACAACATTTTTTAATTTTTTTTTTAGGTTCAACAGTTTCTGACTCTAACTTTTAAATGCAATTTATTAAGAAGAAAAGTTCTTTAATTCATAATAATTATCCAAATTCTATCAATTTACATCAGTTTTATTGATGAATATTACTATCTTAAATGTAATGGTGATAACAACGTATATGGGATATTGTAAATCAAACAGGACATATAGGGGATCTAGTAAATCAAACAGGACATATAGGGGAACTAGTAAATCAAACAGGACATATAGGGGAAATTGTAAATCAAACAGAACATTTAGGGAATACTGTAAATCAAACAAAACGTACAGGGGATATTGTAAATAAGACACAAATATACGTTTGAGGTAACTTAATTATCAATTAGCTTGCTTTTTCATGTTTTTATCATCTGCTGCATTGATCATCAGGGCCGTTTAATTTACCGTATAAACAATGCGCTATTTTTAGCGATGTGGATTTCCAAGTGTGAATTCCAAAATGTCGCTATGGCCACGCTTCAGCTTGTGTGCTAATTACCTCAGATTACACAATTAAATCTGCCTCCAGGCAGTATTATCGAGTGGAGAAATATACATGTCAGACATTTCATAGAGATTTTAGGGCGACTAGAATTTCGCTTTTCAGATCATATAGGGCGAAGTGAAAACATTTACAGCGAAGTTTTTCGCCTGACTTCACCCTTCCCTGATAGTAATTGACATCATTACTGAATAGTAGATAAAAGCCATTAAAGAATTAAGTATGGTGACAAATGTGAAACACGTACATTCAGATCTCATTCCAATCCCGAGGCACTTCTGTAGTCGACAATACTGACACCTGTTCCGGTTTGGTTTTGTTACCATACAATCTTTTGATCCTCTGCAGGCGTATCCAAGCTGTTTCCGTATACTTCTCTTGAAGAATCCTTTACAGCCTTCGCAACTGATTGCTCCGTAATGACGACCTTAAATATGACATACATTTAAAATCATGACAGCCTTAGATATGATATTCATAACTAAAACTTTAAAATGGACAAGTAATTAGGCAAATTGATTAAGTAATGAATTAAGCAATTTGATTAAGTAAGTAATTAGGCAATTTGATTAAGTAAGTAATTAGGCAATTTGATTCAGTAAGTAATTAGGCAATTTGATTAAGTAAGTTATTAAACAATTTGATATATTATCAAGTAAGAAATAAGGCCATCTGATTAAATAGGTTGAAGGATTACTACAACAATGTTAAATAAACTTCTAATAAAAAGGCATCTCCTATACAAAGCCTTATCATAAACATTTGAAAGAAATGCGAATCTTCATCACAAACCTCACACAAAAACATTCCCATTATACAATATAACCATGTATATTCTTCATTGTTTAACACTACATAATAAACATTTTTAACTTATTATCAAATTCTTCATACAAACAACTTTTATTTGTTGGGCTACATACCTGATGCTCGGTCCCCACATACAAGACAAGGCTCGAATTTGTTCGCATCAAACGGTTGTTTCTGACTCTGTAAAACTTTTTCTCTCTCCTCTCTCAACCTCTCCATTCTCTGGGCATGTTGAAGATCACCAATAGGAAACTCCTAAAATATGGTATAAATAGTAAATTAATATTGGTAATAAAACTAAACAAAGTTAATATTTCTTTTATTAATCAATAATATTTTATCATTTTTATCACACACCCGTGCCAATTTTGCGACTCCGTAAATATGGTATTGCATGGCCGTGCATATTATTTTGACGTGACGTCATCAGTGTTATACAAACATAGTGTAAAGACGCGCTAGATGTTAGCGTTATACTATAGGCGTGTCAGTGATAAATGACTCTTTCTTCACTTTAAACGGTCTTTATTTTGGGTGTGTGATAAATAAAATATTAAATTTGTGTAAGTTCATTACTGAATTTATTGAACTCGTTGAATAAAAATAATATTCAATATAATTCTATTTAACTCATGCAATAAATTCAGTATTGAAGTTACACTCATTCAATATCCTCTATATGTGACATTTTCTGTTTTACAACAATGCAACACTAACCTTTTACCTGCAGAATTTCTTACATGTTCTTATATAGTCTCTTATTTTGAAACTATTCACTTTCTGTATATAAACTACTTTAATCAGGATAAAGATTTTTCAGGATGTCAGTAACAGACTGTGCAGATCTGTACATTGGAAAAGGATTTTCAATTTTGGTTCCAACATTTTTATTTTTGCTCGATGGCGAAACAAGTTCTTGCCACTTATATTAATCACTTTCGAGACCGCTTCCTGGAACCAACCAGCACTGGTAGTGTCATATGAAGAAACATCGTCGTGACCCATGTACGGCTCAAACCCATGATCTCTGGGTTGAGAGGCAGACATCTTAACCACTAGGCCACTGCTTCCCTTTGAATTTAAGTAATGGATTTGCTCTGCTTTGGATTTTGAACAATGCATACAAAGTTTAAGGGATTTCATTATCAAGGTACAAAACTTGAGCTACCAACAGTTCAAAGCCTGGCAAGACAGCACAGGCTGGCCTGGCTCTAAACTGGTGGCACAGGCTGGCCTGGCTCTATACTGGTGGCACAGGCTGGCCTGGCTCTATACTGGTGGCACAGGCTGGCCTGGCTCTATACTGGTGGCACAGGCTGGCCTGGCTCTATACTGGTGGCACAGGCTGGCCTGGCTCTATACTGGTGGCACAGGCTGGCCTGGCTCTATACTGCCGGCACAGGCTGGTCTGGCTCTATACTGCCGGCACAGGCTGGCCTGGCTGTATACTGCCGGCAAAGGCTAATAACTTTTGGTCCCTGCAGGTTAAGACATAATCATTCCATGTTGACAAAACTGTGTAAACATGATGGACCTAGTTTAGACACACCAATATGACCTACCTGTACTTTAGGAAGAACCAGGCTGTCAAGTCTTTGATTCTGTTGTAGCTCCTGAAAAGAACAAGATACATGTATACTAAATTTGCTAAATGTATAAACTTACATCTCTTAATGCACAAAAATAATAAACCATTCTTTATTACCTTTGTGACACATAAAATATGCATAATAATGTATAAACCACTTGTAATCTAACTAGAAATGTGTCAACAGGACACAGATGTGCCAAACATTCCACTGTTATGTCAAGATGGATAGCAGGACTGGGCAACAGACAGAAAAAGGACAAATCTATATAATAAGCCCACACCCTGTAAATTAGGGCATTAAAACCAACAGGAATGACCTAAAACTGTTCAACAGAAAAAATGGTATAAACACACTGTTAAAGCAATTCTAGTTGGACTAGGCTAAGAAACAGCAGTGGACGACAACAATAGACATATTATTGTAACGGAATAGTAGACATAATAGTAATACTTTACAGCCAAGGGGCATGGTTTAAATTACATTTGTAGAAAGCCACAAGACAAATATCTAAGCTCTTGGCATTGTAGTTTCTGATAAGGGGATCAGAAACTAGTGTATATATATAACGTTTAACAAAGGGTTCATGGAACCAATGTTTCTTGCCACTGTGCAACAGTGATACAAAGTTTATTGAACCAAACTACATGCTTGCACACTTAGAGTTGTGTTAATATTATCAGATTTTACCTTAAGTTTACTAGCCCATTCAACATGCTAGAGCCAGACACTTAATGCTGTGTAAATATTATCAGATTTAACCTTAAATTTACTTGCCCAGTCTACATGTTAGCACTTAAGTTTACTAGCCCAGTCTACACTAGCACCAGACACTTATAACTGTGTTAGTATTATCAGAATTTACCTTAAGTTGATTAACCCAGTCTACACTAGCACCTGACACTTAAAACTATGTAAAAATTATCAGACTTTTTACCTTTAGTTTACTAGCCCAGTTTACACTAGCACCAGACACTTAAAACTGTGTTTAAATTATTAGAGTTTACCTCAAGTTCATTAACCCAGTCAACACCAGCACCAGACACTAGGAGTTGTGTAAACAATATCAGATTTAACTTTACTAGCCATGTCTACACCAGCACCAGACACTAGGAGTTGTGTTACTATTATCAGATTTAACTTTACTAGCCATGTCTACACTAGCACCAGACACTTAAATAGTTGTGTTAATATTATCAGACTTTACCTTAAGTTTACTAGCCCAGTCAACACCAGCACCAGACACTTGAAGTTGTGTTAATATTATCAGAATTTACCTCAAATTCATTAACCCAGTCTACACCAGCACGGGCAGTAACAGACACAGTACCAGTAACTGTGTTAAAATTATCAGACTTTACCTTAAGTTTACTAGCCCAGTCCACACCAGCACCAGACACTTGAAGCTGTGTTAATATTATCAGTCTTTTCCTTAAGTTTACTAGCCCAGTCAACACTAGCACCAGACACTTGAAGTCATGTTAATATTATCAGACTTTACCTTAAGTTTACTAGCCCAGTCAACACCAGCACCAGACACTTGAAGTCATGTTAATATTATCAGACTTTTCCTTAAGTTTACTAGCCCAGTCCACACTAGCACCAGACACTTGAAGCTGTGTAAATATTATCAGTCTTTTCCTTAAGTTTACTAGCCCAGTCAACACTAGCACCAGACACTTGAAGTCATGTTAATATTATCAGACTTTACCTTAAGTTTACTAGCCCAGTCAACACCAGCACCAGACACTTGAAGCTGTGTTAATATTATCAGACTTTACCTTAAGTTTACTAGCCCAGTCAACACCAGCACCAGACACTTAAAGCTGTGTTAATATTATCAGACTTTACCTTAAGTTTACTAGCCCAGTCAACACCAGCACCAGACACTTAAAGCTGTGTTAATATTATCAGACTTTACCTTAAGTTTACTAGCCCAGTCTACATGCTAGCACCAGACACTTAAAGCTGTGTTAATATTATCAGAATTTACCTTAAGTTTACTAGCCCAGTCAACACCAGCACCAGACACTTGAAGTCATGTTAATATCATCAGACTTTACCTTCAGTTTACTAGCCCAGTCAACACCAGCACCAGACACTTGAAGTCATGTTAATATTATCAGACGTTACCTTAAGTTTACTAGCCCAGTCAACACTAGCACCAGACACTTGAAGTCATGTTAATATTATCAGACTTAACCTTAAGTTTACTAGCCCAGTCCACACTAGCACCAGACACTTGAAGCTGTGTTAATATTATCAAATTTTACCTTAAGTTTACTAGCCCAGTCCACACTAGCACCAGACACTTGAAGCTGTGTTAATATTATCAGTCTTTTCCTTAAGTTTACTAGCCCAGTCAACACCAGCACCAGACACTTGAAGTCATGTTAATATTATCAGACTTTTCCTTAAGTTTACTAGCCCAGTCCACACTAGCACCAGACACTTGAAGCTGTGTTAATATTATCAGTCTTTTTCCTTAAGTTTACTAGCCCAGTCAACACTAGCACCAGACACTTGAAGTCATGTTAATATTATCAGACTTTACCTTAAGTTTACTAGCCCAGTCAACACCAGCACCAGACACTTGAAGTCATGTTAATATTATCAGACTTTTCCTTAAGTTTACTAGCCCAGTCCACACTAGCACCAGACACTTGAAGCTGTGTTAATATTATCAGTATTTTCCTTAAGTTTACTAGCCCAGTCAACACCAGCACCAGACACTTGAAGTCATGTTAATATTATTAGTCTTTTCCTTACGTTTACTTGCTCAGTCTACACTAGAACCAGACACTTAAAGCTGTGTGAATATTATCAGATTTTACTTTACTAACCATGTCTACACCGGCACCAGACACTTAAACAGTTGTGTTAATATTATCAGACTTTACCTTAAGTTTACTAGCCCAGTCAACACCAGCACCAGACACTTGAAGCTGTGTGAGTTTTGACAGATCTGTTGTTACAACAAGTGGCGAACCACCATTGGTAGAAGCTGCAGAACTTGACGCCTGCCATTGTTATAAATAACAAAACGTTTCATCAATTTTTGTACCAACATGTACTGTATATTTAAAGTTACAATAACACTTGTTATACAAAATTCAATTAAACTTAGAGATACAATCATTAAGGAATAATTATCTTTTGAATACATTTATAATCAAAAGTTTGCCTTTTGTTTACAGATTGACATTAGTAACATATAAGGTCATCATTATGTTCTCAAGGTCATAGGTTAGCTATTATGTTCAACCAAAGGTCATTTATTGTAAATTTATACAATATTAAATCAACCTTGACAATAGCATTTACATGCGTATCACCGTTTGACTTCAGTGTATACAAATTGCCTATAATTTGCTTAGTCAGCAGTACAAGTAAAATCAACAAGCTTTGATCAATACAATATAGGTTCCAATGAAAATGGAGATTCATGAAGATTCATGCATAGGAGCAGGTGTTTCAGATGCACTGTAGTAATCCTCTTGTAGATCTACAGGAATCATTGACCTATGAACTCTATATACATGATGGGGAACTTGTGAACTCTATATACATGAGAACGTATGAACTCTGTATATGTGAAGACATGTAGAGCGATGTTTCTATGGTATAATCACCACTAATGTGGTGATTAAAAAATTTCTGAACAAATAAATGTGACAGTGAGTTTATAACTTAATTTGGAAAAAAAAGGACAAAAAATCAGGAACAAGCAGTTCTTTTCTAAATCAAAGCATTACCCTTATATATACGGAAGCAGAAAAGGGCTGTAATGAACATTTTAATTGTTGAATGCCTTTTCAAGGCAAAGAATGTTCACTTAGGGATTGTGCAAAGATATGGAAAATCTTATTATTAGACTGTATTCCTATCAAACAAAATGATTCTGATAAATTGTGTAGAGGAAACTTATGTAACATTACGGTGGAATCATTCTAAATTCAGACTTGATACAAAATGTGTCTGAGATTACTTTCTATTCATTTTTTTTTTATAAATATCAAAAGAGAATACCCAACTTACAACAAACCTTAAGTCTTATATTCTTTAAACAGTACAAAGAAATTGAAATTATTCTTTTTATAAAATATTCTTGAAACAATATTTTGACATCTGGCAATTTATTAAATGTTACAAATTGAAGAATTTAATTCCAGTCTGACCAGGCTGTACACTATTGGTGGCTTAATTTTTGTATTTTGATATTGAAATCCTCTGAAACTTTGAATAAACAGTTCCAAATCCAGAACAAGGCAAATACTATAAAGGAGAAGGGTTAAACAGATCCTAAAATGCTCATGATACATGTACTTCGTAAGATGAGATAAAAGAATAATTTGTTTACATATAATTCATTATCTGGTTTTACTGAGAGAGAAAACTTGATAACTTACAGAAGCTAGAGATACTGGTAGTGCAAACCCTCCTGGTGCTAGAGTTATTGTTTGTATATTTTGTGGTAAGGCCATCGAACCACTGCTTGTAGTCGATCCTGCTACTACTGGAATACCCACTGAAAATATACCAATCTTAAACAATGAATTCATATACTGTGAAACTTAGTACAAAGTACTTTATGTATATATAAACATGGAATAGCCATTGAAGTTTAATGTTTATAAACTTGGAATATTTAGAACAATGTACAATATATAAACATGGAATAGCCAATGAAGTTTGGTGTACATTTACTTGGAATATCTAGTACAATGTTTAAACTACAAGATATAAACATGGAAAAGCCACTTAAGTATGAAGTACATAAACTTGGAATATCTAGTGAAATGTAACACATATAATTATAAACATGGAATAGCACTGAAACATGATGTATATAAACTTGGAATGCCTGGTGCAATGTACCATTTAATAACAGTGGATAACCATTGAAGTATAATGTACATACACTTGGAATACATAGTGAAAAGTACCACATACAAACATGGCATACCCAATGAAGTATGATGTACATTTCATGGTAGCATGGATAGATTCAGTCATGGCCAGCAGAATATGGGTTTTAAATGAGGAAACTCTTAAAAAAAGGTGATCATCTTGGATGAGTGACTAAAGTATGAACTCCTTGAATAAGAACCAAAATGGTGACTGTTCAACAAAGCTGACATATATCAATCGAAGACTCAAGAATACTTGTAACCCCTTCATTATAACATCAATATATAAGACCTAATTCAAATGTCATGACACCATGACAGATTATTATCAAATTTGACCCGAGTTAGAAGACATACTCACTTTGTGGAGAAAGCACATGAATGAAGTTCTCTGGTAATGCCCCATCCATCACAATCACAGACTGACCCCCAGGGGCCTGCCCTGGGACCGTATTTTGGGCAGCTCCACTACCGTCCTCCACTGAACTCATTAAACACTATGTATCAGTAACTGAAATAGAAACAGGATAGATGTGTACATGTAATTAATCTGATTTTTCTCTTACATTACATTATACATTGTACATGTTTTCCTAATTCTGTTTCTTTAAAGGCACAGAACTTGTTGTATTTTAATATCAATTAAACTGCAATTACTTAAAGGCCCATACACCTCAAAAATGCTATATTAATATTTTTATATTTCAGAAGCTTTTTATGTCTGGAAGTCAAAAACTTTTTATATCTAGTGTCATATTACAAATTTACAATTTTCAAAAAGTTACTTATTGGCACTATATCCTTAGCCATCTTTTACTAATCTTTTGCATTTTGGCAATTAGTACTGTAAAAGTGCTTCAGTTTTTTTTGTATTTGTAAAATACAACTTTGTTTAATTTTGCTATCCTTTACGAGAAATTATTTTGTGTTCGGCTGATAAACGACTTAAATGTTCTTATTTAATCTATCATTAAAACATTATAAAACAAAGTGTTTACACTTTCTACAGATAAAAGTTTTAATTTTTTTGGGGCATAATGTGCCTTTAATGTATTGCAAAACATGCCTTTTTTTTATAAACTTCACAAATACAAATTAGAATGATAAATGTATTTGCCTACATTTGGATATGACTTATTTCTATTCTTAATCTATTTTCATCTGAATCTTTGACCTTTCACCTCTGACTGAGTTACTTTGATTTTCGTGGCACAATTTGAAGAATTTAGTTCTTTGACCTTTGCCTACTTACTAGAAAGGTTGGGTCTGTATATTCTAAGCCAGATGTATAAATTAACAGACACTGACAGGCAAGTAAACACATAAGATATCATTAAAGCTGAGGTTATGGGATTTCAATATCAGAATATTAAAATCAAGCAGTCATACACATGTAATAATATATGATGTACAGACTGACCTTGCACTATACTGGTGGCATATTATGTATACGAACAATTTCAATGTGTTAAAATAAAAAAACATCTAGTACACAATAATTATCTTCTTTCAATGCAGACCCCAATTAAAAATGACAGAAATATGAATGTTATATACAGAACGCTTGAAAGAGGTAACAGCACATTTAATATTTAATCATTGATATTTAATGTTCTGGTCAGGTAAAATCTACATATATGTATGTGAGATATGTAAATTATCATACTATTAAAACAACCGAAATATGTGTTCAATGTTATATTACATATATGTACCGGTTTATCAAGTATTCTAGGCATAAAATATGTAGATATCTTATGTTCACTGTCTTTAACCTCCGCAAGCTGCCCCCTCCCACACTAAATATCTTAAATACATACATGTAAAATTGTCAACCTTTTAATCTGGACAAAACCATTATTCATTTTAAAAAAAAAAATTCAAGAGATACAGTCATGTTTACCAACTGGACAGCTAACAATGCAGACCATAATTAGATCTTGGTCTGCACTGATCCCATGGGTAGAATTAGCTACCACCATCAGGCAAAAGGTTAAAGGTATCTCTCAACCATTCACATGTAGGCTGTTGGAACCGAAAAAGAATTAGCTTTTGCCAACAGTATAGAGCCTTGTCAAACAATCACCATCTGACCAATTTTTATACTTTTGGCAGTTTAATTTTTGTATACCAACATTGAAATCCTTTACACTTTGAATGGACTGTTCCAAATCTAAAGCTGGGAAAATCCATTATACAAATTCAGCAGGTTGGTTTATACAGAATTTAATTTTGTTTGATTGTGTAGGATGCTATAAGCTTATAGACACACTTTCAAAACCATTCCGGGAACCAACCAATACTGAGTAATGAGTGTTAAGTTTCTTGCTCAAGGACACAACGACTTGCCCCTGACTGGGTTTGAACCCATGTGGCTTACTAGTCTAAATTCAGCAGGTTAAGCATTGATATCATTGATCGTCTCTGAATCTACATCAGTGACAGGGCGAGGCAAGAATTAAAGGTAAAAACTCTTCATGAATTTTTCACCTTTCATAAATAATACAGAGTAACACATACTATTCCCTTTATGTTAACCTGTTATGAACCTTTGACCAGTCAATGTTATATCTGACCAATTAATAAATCCAAAATCTGCCAATATAATCAGAGTAAAACCTCCTTTGACCTCCGCGTTACCACAAATGAAGGAGGCTAACTGTGAAAACTAGGTATAAAGTGATAATTCCCACTGGCAAACCCCTTCTCAAATATTTTAAAAAATTATACTGCCCAAATATTTTATACATTTTGTTTTAAGGGTTTTTTTACAGAAATTTGAAAATATATATTTTAGTTATATTATACATAATTTGAAAATGAGCCCACTCAGTAACGCCAGTTAATTAAAATATTCGTTATAACACAAAATTTATCAATATACATGTAAGATTTCCTCATCAGCTATATCATTCTTAAGAATATAAAAGTGACATTTTGCTCTTATATCCGCTATCAAGTTGAGTTGGATTATTAATTCATAACAAGAGAATGACTATCACATAATGTTGATTGACCAACAATTGATATCAAAAATATGTTTAAAATAAAATGTAAAAACTTCCTTAATTATAAAATGGTGGCCCCCAACTCTTTAAAATTAAAACATTACAGTACAAATACATTCCGAATGATATTTATAGAAATGTCCATTAGTCATATGGATAACTGAATTTGAATGATTATTTTGCATGGTATAAACACAATTTTTGCAAAATTTAAAGTTATTTTGACATTGACTGGTGCATTTGGATGGGCATGATGTCACTTCAATTTTTTCTTTCAAATCCAATAATTTTTTTTTAAAAAATACGAAAAGAAACCTCACAATAAAAAACATAATCTATTGTGATAGGAATAATTTCAGACCTTTTCAGCGTTTTGAGAAAAAATTCCGAACATTCTTTAATGGAAAACATGACATTACCTTGGTCATCGTGATAAATGTACTTGATGTTAACATTACCTTGTTTGAAACATACAAATTTCATTGAAACAGATTAAGAAATTTTTAGATGGAAGAATCAAGAAGGTAAAAGATTTACCAACAAACATTCTGTAAATTTATATCATAATTATTAAAGCAATGCCAATGCAGACTAAGTGTCTATATTTATTTTCAAATAATTTAAAATCAAATTAATATTTACAAACAATTTAACAAGAATCAGATTTTTTTTAAATTCAAGATTTAATATTCATGTATATAACTGATTATTTTGCTGGCCAAGCATACAAAAGTTTTTTATGGACAATCTGAAGACAACAGACCTTGGATTTATGAGTTACAGATATAAGCAAGGCACATGTAAAATATTTAGTTCACAAAACTTGTAACTTCTAATGCCATTTATCCTTACCCATGTTTGAACTAAAATAAACCGGGTGTTCAGCAGCAATTTCTGGAATGACAGGATGCCATGCTGATGCTTTACAGAACCCCTTCATAATTTTTACACAGAAGAAGTCTTTCCCCCCAGCAAAAACAACAAAATACACAGTGTTGGGGGAAGGGGGGAGGGGGCATGAGAGATGTTGCACTGTACATTATCTTTTATGAAACCATGTCTGCAATTTTCAACTTTATGTTATTTATCACAAAGGATTTCCATTTCCCAAAATTTCAATTAATCAAATTATTAATAACCCAGTAAAGCTGATCACTTATCAATATATAAATATCAAATTATATCCTGGTCATTTGAAAACAAGGATCTCTAAAATTTAGATAATAATAACGTGGGGCTTTGATTTAAAACCAAGAAAATCCAAGGTACATGTGAAAGTTTTAATTTCTTATATTCCCTGTGTTCTCCAATGTGTCAGGGAAGGAGAAAAGGGAGTGGCTGTGGGCAGGGTACAAATGACAGGTGAATCATATCAACAATATTATTTTCATAATGACAACTCCTGATTGGTTAGCTGTTTTACGATGAATCATCATGATTTAAGCTCTCTCGGGTACCGGTAACCAAAAGGATCTCCAAAGATATATTTCAATGAAATAATAACAAAATAAAATCACAAGATTAAGATATAATTGAAGATTTCCCTGTTTGGTGTCTAGTTATCTAGAATCTGTAATAAGTTACCAAACCCATAAAATATTGATTTTTTTATTCATGGTGTATGAACTATATAAAGAGCCAGAAATAGCCAATGTTTAATTAGCAGACCAATTGTCAAAGAAATTTTTATGAAGTTGTCTGTGGTTGGAAGATATTGCAACATGCATGTATAATATATTAAAGTCAGGTTTTATAAATTAATGAACATGTCAATTAAATCAATAATTTATTAAATATTATAATCTAAAAGCAATAAACAATATCCCCACTCGATTAAACTGTCTTCATAAAATTTATAGGCATGAGGATATTACATGTACATGTATAAATAAAGCATATTGGTACATGTTTTTATTATAATTTGTTATTTGTTTGTTCCAATTCCCCTAAGTTTAACAAAAAATTCTTTGCCTAACGGCCATACATGTACTTTAAAAATTTAAGAATACTTTTTAGTAAACTTTTCAAAGATACAGGAGATAAGGATAAATATTTTTTTATTTATTTTTCTATTAGGCCAAAAATATAGAGAGTATTTTGCAGCTGTTTTCAGTAAAAGAATTCCAGACTCACATTTAAATTAAGAAAAGTGATGTCGCATATTATGAAATTTGAGAAGCTTCAAAGAACTTTGAGGTTTAATTGATGTGTTCTGCTTCATCATACACTGTAGCCTGTAACTTTCTTAAATAAACAAGCCAAAATAGTTCCAATTTTGCTAACATGATTTTTTTATCAACTGGAGGGAATATATTTTTGATGAAAATTTCGAAAAAGAGTTGTTGTTTTTTAATTGAGACTCCAGGGACTTCGTGATAGCATGCAGAATCCTTGTAAAGTAACAGTTCTTTTACATTAAATGACTTAGGGCTGTTTCCATCATGTAATTTTCTATTCCACCAGCAAAACTCACTTAAAGTAATCACTGGTGATTCTCAAGAAA